CGATACATTTCGAAACGTTTTTAGCCTTGAATAATTGTACGGTTGTAAAATGAACACTAACTGGGAAAGCGAAAAATCCTATACATTTGAAGAAAACAATTTTTTTTTTGTTAACCATGGATGTGGAATTTTTTTTGTGTAATAACAATTTTCATTTAATTTTTTTTTACAGGTAAAAAATGTACAATACAAGTTTTGGTTGACGTGGTAAATTATGAAGATTGAAAAACGTTTACGTACACTTCGTGAAACGTCTTTTGAGAGACGTTTTTCAAGTATAAATTTTTTTTTTAATACAAACGACAAAACATCCATCAAAACCACCGTTTATGGTTTAAATAATGGTTTGTTTAATTGCGGTTACTGCGTGTACAACCAACATTTCAGTTTTTAACTTAAAGCGGTTTAACTTAAAATTACTTGTAATTATAGTAATATATATATATATATATATATATATATATATATATATATATGTGTGTGTAATTGTATATGTGTGTGTGTGTGTGTGTGTAATATTTTATAGTTAAATCGTCGTTCATGATCGTGAAAATCGCTGAAATCACTACGTACAGTTGGTATAGTTCTTAGCATATACATCCAATGTCACCTTGCGAAGTAAAAACTAAAATGTACTCGCACATAATGACAAAAAAAGAAACGGTTCCGCATTAAACTGGAAATCAGTAATTAATTGACTGTGCCTGTGCGGTCATTATACCGTGTACAAGAGCTTAATATACATAGGTAGGTATGTACCTAACACGAATTCCACTCACTGAGAACATGCCTAATGCCCTAATAATTGATATCGGGTTTTCAATTAAAAAAAAAAAAAATCGTGAATAACCATAAAAAAATACATTGGGACTGGGGTGTTTATTACACTACAGTAGTGTAATATCGGCTTAAGCTAAAGAATTTCAACAAAATAATATATTGTAAGTAGTGGGCGGTGGTCGGCACTTGGAAGACATAGGATTCGGATAACCTGAATAATAACTGTAAATCATTTTTATTGTTTAAACCACCATCTAACGGTATTTCAGAATTCAGAGGTAGTTCAGGTGTAACACAATATAAACTTGCTGTTTAAACGATAGTTATTATTATTACTATGTTGGTCAGTACCTACAATGTATTTGAAACACGTTGTTATTATACTATAAAGAATGTATTTGAGTATTGAAATTAAAACGGTCATTCTTGTAAAATGTATAGGTACTCAGAGCCAACGGTCGGTACACCTAGATATTGAAGTAGCACAGTTGAAACGGACATTTCAATAACGACATAAGTTTTTACAAAAATGACTTTTTGTCAAATTTAATGTTTATATTCGCAAATAGAAAACACTTTTTTTTACACTTGTTTTAATTTTTTAACTAAATTTAGTTGCTAAAGATAAGTTGCTATACCTTGAAAAAACAACAAAGTCGATTCAATTTTACAATGATTCTTGCGCGTAATTGTATAATAATTGTACGTTTTATATGGCAAATTTGATGTACGCATGACAACTCTAAATTGATTAAAAGTTACAACGATTTATTTAAGTGGTGATAATATTATTTTAACGATTAACGTGTAAGCATATATTATTCCAGTGCCTATACCAAACGCCTAAATAAATAAATGACGAAGTGTATTGAACAATGTGCTTTATTTTGGGTTACGATAACGTTCTTTGTTTAAAAAATTAATGTTTAATATCGTGGACTCCTAATACGCGCTTATCTGATAATACACTAGCAGTCTATCAAGTCTAACATTTATTGGATCACGAGTGCATTTTTAATTTGAGGCCAGGCATGAATTTACAAAGAGTTTCAACGAAGGGCACTATATACATCTTTCACCTTAACTTTTATTTTAGTAAAAATCACAATGATCATACTAACAAGTCAGGTGTATGTCGCTTCAAAATGTCCCCCTTCCAGTTTTTCACTTCTTAACACTTTCAAAATTGGTTGCGTACCATGAAGTCATGCAGTATTGTCAGTGCTTAGGCTTACAAACTTAAGTTTTTTCTAGATACAAACTTTTTTTATAAGGTATAACTTTTAATCGAAATTCAATTTTTGGTGATGACTCAAAATAATACGTGTCATTGTGGTTAGACAATTGTTTAAACAAAAAAATATTTTCTTTGTATTTTTTTTATATTAAATTTCAACGCAAATCTTTAAAACAATTTTTACTAATATGATTTGGATAAGTCTCATGCTTGTCATATTATGGCGGTTTCCAATCTGCCTCCTAGTGTGGAAGCCTCTCCGGCTTCTACTTAGAACAAAGGGAGCGTTTTTGTGTTTATTGGACTTGCTTGATTTGCACGTCATTATGTAGGCTACATTGGGTAAGGCTCGATTTTTTTTTCGTTTTGTTATCGCGTATTGTTACAATAATAAGGTTACATAACAATATTACTATAAGGGAGAAATGAAATTCAGTCCGCTGCGATACGGACCCTAGGCTGATTAATTTATTGTAGTTGTGAAATGACCATCAAAATGCAATCACTAAGATCCCACTATTGCTTAGGTTGTATGTACACAGTATGATCTAGAATTCCATTCGCGGGCGTAGGTAAATCGAAATGATTATTAAGTGTTGAAATAAATAAACTTTGGCCATTTTCAAAAAGGTTAACTTTTAGGGATATACTCTTTTTAAACTGTCGAGTTCCGCCATACAGCAAAATACAATGGAAATTATACACTACACGCTGCGCAATAGTCATTCAGGACATGCTGTATTAACGATGTTCTGTTAAATTAATATTTTAACCAATCGTTAAATAATCAATAATAATCACCCTATTATAATATTATCTATGCGTAGGACATTTTTATAATTATTCTGTCATTCTAATAGACAAGAGATCGGTTATGTAACGCACCATTTAATTTTTTTAAATCACACTAACCTCATTGGACATTAACTTTTATTAACGACTAGAATTTTGATGATTGCTATTAAAGTTCTAAGTGGTTAGTACGTTGTATCGCGAGTATATCTTTATAGTTACAATAATTATTACATTATTATGGTTGTATTACAAGCACGGAATTCATGATCTAATCTGACATTACGCGCAAATATTCTTTATATTATGAATTCAGGATTTCTATAGAATTTTTTTAATACAATAAAATAAAATATTATATTAACCCATGTCTCAAAGACATTTTTTTATACTTTTTGTTGTTACTAAAAAATTGCATTAAAATGTTTGGTCGTTAATTGTTTTATTTTTTATACTACATTATGCTCTACAAATTTTCTTAATGATTTCAGTATGAAATGTCTACCTATAGGTATATTATGTATATATATATATATATATATATATATATATATATATATATATTATATAATAACGCATTATGCGTAGTTGACAAAGTGTTGTCCACTTATTCTTTCTAATGGTTATAGCTTACAAAATTGTATTTTTTAAGTGATTTTGGTATTAGAATTAGTCGTTTCTGTAAAACTAAAATTATCAGTGCACTTTTGATACCCGTGCACTATGCCATTGGTACTTTTCACGGATAATAACTAATAATGTGGCCTATAATATCATATCGCAAATGAGTAATGACACTGCTGCGGGTTTGCTTGTAGTATTTCTTTGTAATATGAATTATCAATTTTCAAACACAAATCTATTAACATTTTGACGACTGTCTGGATAATTATAGCGATATACTGTATATGATAGTGTATGAGTTGAATACGTTTGAAAATGAATAAATCTATACAATTCCACGCGCGTCTTAAAATGTGTATCTTTTGTCCCACTTCATGTTACAGTGTGTAGAATGCTAATTCGTACGGTCTTATTAACGTAGGCAGTAGGTACATAACTCATGGCCGTTCTTATAATTTTAGCTATAAGTATAATTTAGTCTATGATTTTGGTAATGTTAAACTAATTATATAACTATTTTTTTAGCTGAACTGGTGATAACGGCCATCTATATCAATATAAAAAATTTGTTTTTACTAATGCAATCAATGCCGAGTGTCTGGGAGGGTAAATACCCCATTGATTTAGTGGATAAGATGGGTGGCTGATTTCGTTTATTCTGTGGTCATGCTATAGGATTAAAATAAATAATGTTTTTATGTTATGAGGCAATTTTTTTTTTGGTGGGTAGGTAGGTGTAAAGTATGTTTTCCCTCAGATGTAGTGGATGGTTTAGCGCCACTGGTTGTAATATTGAAGAGAGGCAGGGCTGTCTCAGGCAAACAGAGTTTGGGGACCCTTTAAGAAAAACAATTGAAAAAAACGCCACTACTTTTATGATAGATATAATGTCTTTGTTCACATAATATGTATATTATAATATATTATATTACACATTAATACATTTATCTATATAGGTAATTATTGGCGGACGTACTGTTCTTGAATCGTTACTATCATGATTTTGATAGTCTTAAATTTATAAAAAAAAAAATTGTTTTTTTTATTTTTTTGAATTTATTCATTGAAGATGTTTGATTTCAACACGATAAACATCTATTGAAATGTAAATAATATAACATATTATGTTTCTTTTAGAGTACCTAATGAATACGATCAATTAATAATTAATACATGACGTATATTATAGGCTTTAGTGTTCCAATTAATTTAACCAACGATCATATTATATTTCTATTAGTGCGAACATTTGCCGATCTTACATCGTCATCAATACTCAGTGAAATACGTCAAGATTGAACAGTATTTTCATAAATTTGACCTCGGCGTAAACGTCTCAATAAAAATTTATACTTACGCATCCTATAAACGACGCGAGATGAATTTTTAAAAAATCAATTTCGCGTTCATTGGCCTTCCGTTGTATTAACTTGATATACTTTTTTTTTATACATTAGGTACTTACAAACCATCGTTTCAAACACGACAGTATTATACATACCGGTTTTGAAAATACCGTTTTCCCGCCTGTGCGACGACTTACCGAACAGTTGTGAATCGCGTGATAACGACGTGTAAATGGAATATTGTTATTGATATTATAAATTCATGATTGTTTTATTTTCGAAGAAAAACCTAATTTGCGAATTGATACCGATAGGTCCATAGGTGAATTAAAGTTATCCTGGTGTCGTTGGAAGATTTGTTTGCGCGTTGCAGAATTAATATTGTTTTAAGGTAAGTAAAGCGCGTATATCTTTTCGTTGATTTTTAAGAATCCGCCGGAAATTGCGTAGAAACACACGATGTGACCCACACTCGTTATGTTATTTTGAACGAACGATGAAATACACCGTGGCTATTGGTAAACGAGCAATGGGTTGTGATTTATCAATCTATAAATCTCAATATTTTGCCCAGTCATTACCGACACAATGCTCCTTTCTCGATTTCTAACCCGGCCGTCAAAGCTGGTTTACATTGCTAACCATGCGCTGTCTGTGGTCGTGCGTGCCTCTGCTGCTGCTGCTGCTGCTGGCGGCGACTTGTACCGAACATGGCAACCGAGCGCGGCTGTCTCAGAGTGGCAATTACAAATATTCGTATTCTTCTTTTAAAGGCAAATCACTACCTTTGGCCATGTCCGACAAGGTTGAAAAACGTATCGAGAACATCGAAAAGTCAATTGGAGATTCACGGGTCTATCGTGGATTGAAGTTGAAGAATGGTCTGACCGCTTTGTTGATCAGCGATCCTGATACAGACAAATCGGCCGCTTCGTTGTCTGTGGCTGTCGGTAGGATATATGTTCTGTAATATTTACCTAAATTAATAATTATGTTAATTGTCCATTATACTAACTACCTACGTAACATAAAAAAAAAAAAAAAATACAAAATCTCTAAACAAAATAAAAGATACATGTTATCGGTTTTAATATTCAAATATATTCAATTTAAACAGATTTTATTACACGTAAATATCATACGAGAAATTTAATCAAACTAATTTACATCCGTTTTTTAAAATATTAATTCTTTGTTTTGTTATTTTTTTCCATAATTATTGTGTTTATTTTGAACATTTACAAGATTTTAAAATGTTTACAAAATAGTTTTGTTTTTGAAAATTTAAATTTTTGTAGTCCGATACACATGAGTACTTATGTAGATTTTTATAGTTACAATTTTATTGTAACTAAAAATATTTTATCATTTAATTTAACTTTTATGATATGACTATTCTCATCAGTTTGGCTTAACATTTAGCCTGCAACTTTAGTATTGTTAAAATATACTTAGTTATTTAGCTAAACTCATGAGAAAAGCCATTTGAGAAATTATTATTAATTTTAATAAAAATAAATTTAATATTTTTTTATTTAGGAAGCTTAAGTGAACCAAAAGATTTGCCGGGCTTAGCTCATTTTTGTGAACATATGCTGTTTTTGGGAACGAAGAAATATCCAGTAGAGAACGAATTTACACAGTTCTTAGTTCAAAACGGAGGATCGTATAATGCTTATACAGCCAACGATCACACAAATTATTATTTTTCCACAAAGACTGACGCACTTGAACCATCTTTAGATAGGTTAAGATCACTGCTTAATTATTTTATTTACATTTAATGTGGTTAGACCATTTGTTGTTATAACTAAACACAATTTTTTGGGGGGCTTTATTAGATTTGCACAATTTTTCCTAGAACCGTTGTTCACCACCAGTGCAACAGAAAGAGAAATCAATGCTGTTAATTCAGAGCACGAGAAAAACGTGGCTGATGATTTTTGGCGTTTGGCCCAACTCGAAAAAAATGCTGCTGATTCAAATCATGCTTACAATCAATTTGGAACAGGTAAATATTAATTTAATTTTTACATTATTTTAATAGTAATAATAACTTATAGTTGTTATAACTTGTATAAACACAATTTTATTCGAGTAACATTTATGTTATTAAAAACTGAATGATAATTAAAGTTGTGGAATAACACTTACAATCCTTAGGAAAACTTTGTTAATAAAGTAAAATCATATTTCAATATTAAATGCTTATTTATATGCTCCACGTGTAGCTTATTTTATTTGAATATGTTTATTTACATAGAATTTTTTTTGTTAATTATGAAGCTATACAAATGAGTAATAATTTGTATTTATATTCATATTTATAATAATAACGCCCATAAAACGAATAAAATAATGTCATAATTAAATAAATATCATGTTAGTGTATCAGCTGCATTTTAAACTATGAACAAAATTACAAATTCTATTTATATATTTTCTATAGGAACAAAAGAAACGTTGTGGGATAATCCAAATTCAAGAAATATTAGTGTCCGCGACAAGTTATTGGAATTTCATTCAAAATGGTACTCGTCACATTTGATGTTCCTTTCGGTATTAGGAAAAGGTAAATAAATAAAATTTTTTTTGTATTTATAAAATATATTTCTTGATAACTTTAAAAATGAATTGTTAAAAACGATCAATTTGTTTTAAAAGAGGATTTGGATACTCTGGAATCACTCGTTGGAAATTTGTTTGGAGACATTCAAAAGAGAGAAGTCGACATGCCAGTCTGGACGGATCCTATCTATACAGAGGAACAACTAGGAACCAAGACTATTGTAGTACCTGTTAAAGACATCAGAGCGCTATCAGTTAATTTTCTAATCCCAGACCAAAACGAATACTACCAAAGCATGGTAAGTTAACTTACTCTGTCAAAAAAATTTGTATATAAATTATTTCAATTTCAGCCAAATCGATATTTGAGTGCGTTATTCGGTCACGAAGGACCTTCCAGTATATTGACCGTGTTGAAAAAGAAAGGATGGTCCAGTAAATTGTCGGCAGGCAACAAATTTGAAGCTAGAGGCATTGAACTTTTCGATATTGATGTTGATCTAACGGAACAAGGTGTCGATCATGTGGACGACATAATAAAATTAATTTTTCAGGTATTCTTTTTTACTTTACTCTTTTAACAAATATGTTTATTGATATGTTTTTTTTTTGTTTTTGTTTTATAGTATGTCAATATGTTGAAACGCGAGGGCCCTCAGGAATGGTTTCACCAAGAAAATAAAGAAATAAGTGCGATGCAATTTCAGTTTAAAGATAAAGGATCGCCATTGGATTATGTATATCGTCTGTCTTCCCACATGATTGTATGTATACTAATATTTATGACTAATTAAAAAAAAAATGCTAAAAAATATTTAGTTATTTTGGTTGTAAAAAAAAAAACCTATGTTTATGTATTTGTTTAGAATTACAAATTGGAAGATGTTTTAACTGCAGAATATTTAATAAAAGAGTGGAGACCAGATTTGATTACGGAACTTTTGACTTACTTCAGGCCAGAAAATATGAGGTACGAAACAGAGTAGCTAATACGATTTTATTAGATACATAATAGTTATTAGCTTTTTGTTGGTTTTTCTCCTATTAGAGTTACAGTTGTATCCAACGTGTTTAAAGATAAAACAAGCTCTGTTGACAAATATTACGGGACACCTTACACTATTAGCAAAATTCCAGTCGAGACTTTAAATGTAATAATTTTGATTTTGACTTTACTTATAAATACTATTTTATATAAAACTTAAAATTTTACTGAATTACAGGAATGGAAAAAAGAAGACACGTTAGAAGATTTTAAAATGCCATCCAAAAATGAATTTATTGCTACAGATTTTAGTTTGGTGCCTCTCGAAAAAAACGTACATTAACTGGACTATAATTTATTTGTGCGATTTATTATAATTGTAATCGTAATTTTATAGGAACCAGAACATCCGCACATTATTCACGAATCAAAGATTTTGAGATCTTGGTTTAAAAAAGATACCGAATTTCGTTTTCCTAAGGCTTTTGTCTCTATTGACTTTTTCAGGTAATATCACGTTACAAACAAAAATTTAAATAATAAAAAATATTTTAATGTTTGTGAAATCTATTACTGTTATGGTAATGCTGTTTGGATAATTAGAGAAGAATTTTTTGTAATTTTGGTGTTGTTATTTTTTTCTTCAATATGAACTAAATTAATATTTAAAAAAATTTAATTGGTTTTTCTGTGTTTAGTCCTATTGTAATGAGTGATCCATTCAATTGCAATGTCATGAGTATGTTTGTGAGACTGTTCAATGAAGATTTTTCTGAATACACTTGGGATGCAACTAGAGCTAGTCTACATTTAGTCATTAAGCCTAGTAGTTACGGTTTTAAGGTACATTTTTTCATATAATATCAATTATTATGTAATTTTGTTTATTAATTTAATATCTGTGTACGTAGATGCAACTGAGTGGATTCAACCACAAATTAGACATATTATTAAAAAAAACAATTGACAAACTGCTAACGTTTAAAAGTGACCCACTGAGATTTGACATAATCAAAGAAGAAGTAAATGGCTATTATTTTTTTTATTCATAATACTATGAATAATTGACAAATAACAATTTTAAAAATTATTTATAGAAAATTAGAGACTTGAAGAATATTGCCATGGAACAGCCTTATCACAGCGCTATGCGTTACAACTCAGTTATTTTATCAGAAGCTGCTTGGACACCAAATGAGTTATTAGCGTCTCTCGAAGGTAATACATTTTAATTTCGAACTGTTTACTTATTTCTTCCAAACTGATAAGTTTTATTTAATAGAAAAGTATTTGTGTACATGAATTATATAAATCACAATATCACGATCTGACTGTAAAAAAAAATTAAAACAAGATTGCATTACGATTTTATGCTTTTACAGATGTGAAAATAGAAAATATTGAAGAGTTTACAGGAAAATTCTTATCAAACATGTTCATGGAGTCCCTAATTTATGGAAATATTGATAAAGCTGTAAATATATATTTGTTATTAACATTTTTTTTTATTCATCAAACCACAATTATTAATTTAAGAATAAATTATAGAAAGCTTTAGATCTTATACAAATTTTGGAAACTCCATTTACCACTCGCCAAGGATTCCGTAAACTATTACCTCGCCAGATGGTGAGATCTAGGGAAGTCCAAATCGAGGATGGTCAGTGTTTTTGAGTTATTAAAAGGATCATTTTTGATATTATAAAACACGGCATTTCAGTTTGGTTTTTATTATTCTAAAAAAATTTAGGAGAAAATGCATTGTTTGAAACAACGAGTGATCATCACAGTAGCTCGTGTGTCTACATTCATTTACAGTGCGGTCTTCAGTCTACGTTGAATAATATGGTTGTCAGTCTGTTTAATGAGATAATCAAAGAATCTTGTTTCAATACACTTCGTACACAGGTGATTGCGAAGAAGCTCATATTTGTATTTTAACTGTAACAACATGTGTGTATTGATATTTTTAGGAACAACTCGGTTACATTGTATTTAGTTCGTCGAGCAGAAGTCACGGAGTGTTAAATTTACGTATAATTGTGCAGTCCGATCGCACTCCGATGTATGTTGATTCTAGAATAGAAAACTATTTGAATACTATTCAGGTTGGTGTTGGATTGATTGTTGACATCATATTTGTGATTTATTATTAATAAAATTATCAACAATTATAGGATTTGTTGGATAAAATGCCAGATGAAGAATTTGTAAAATACAAAGACGCTTTAGCTGTCAAGCTGTTGGAAAAGCCCAAGGGATTGATGAAACAGGCTGGCGTGTATCAGATAGAAATAGACACCCAGGATTACAACTTCAACAGATCCCTAATCGAAGTAGAAGCATTAAAAACTATTAAGAAAAACGATATCGTACAATTCTATTGCGTAAGTCTTTTTGTGTTATAAGCTACAAAATATAATAGATATTTAATTTAAACACATCTAATTCTTATTGTAATATTATAATATAGGAACAAATCAATCGACTTGGGCCGAAAAGACATAAGTTTGCTGTACACGTTAAGTCTACTCTGAAAAATACTGCTAACGCATCTGTAGAAGATAATAATTTGTTGGCTAGCACTAATGTTTGTATATTTCTTCAAATGTAACATAAATAAATTTTATTTGAAGTTATTGAATCAATGTCAAATTTTTGTTTCAGATTTCATTTATTACGGACATCACAGACTTCAAAAAGAAACACCGCTTGTATCCGCTGCCAAGTCCATTTATACCGGTTGGATTGTCCTCCACAAAATCTAAATTGTGATCCAACTTTTGCATTAATTATTTTTAAAAAATATTTATATTATTTCATAATGTATATTGTACCATTATAAAAAAAAAAATATTGTAATAAACAATATTTAATCAAAAATACTAACTTTGTTATAAAAACATTTTTTTTAGAGCAAGTGATTCAAATCATTGCAAAAGTAGATTTTGATTGTGGATTACGTTTTTAATATCAGAAATAATTTACATAATTTAATTTTAAATGCACCGTTTAAAAAAAAGTCTAGTAATGCTTTAGAACGAAATTGGCCATTGATCCTTAATCTGGTTTTAGGTAAAACAAAGAAAATTACTGTAATTTTTAAACAAATTAAATAAAATAATTTCATACACTTTTATTGATGTGATATGTTTACGCCAATATAAAATCACTAAAAATTGTTTTTTTAAATGAAGATTTAAAAAATAAAAGCAACTTTACAGTCACGAGTAGTTTGCAGTCTATTTTGTTATAATTATCACAAATATAATTAATATATTATATAATTATATTTACTTGTATACTTATGCAAACATTAAAAACAGGGGCATAAAAACTTGATTATATTAAACTTCAACTGGAGTTTCCTCAGCCACCTCCATAAATATGCCCCTGAGTAAAAATATTCATTATTTATTACATTGTTTTTTATTATTAAAAAAAAAAAACATTTACAAAATTGTGATCCATTGGTATGAATGAGCACGCTTATGTGACAATGTATACTTCTTTACAATATCATTTCGATATTGTAACAACTCCCCGAATTAAGCAATTTAATCAATTATATTTTTTTTTCACAATAGTTTTAGAGAACAGTACATAGAAAATTTGAGAACTAAAATTGTGTTGATAATAAATTACTACAACTACTCTCACATATCTTTAATCCTTGTTGGTATCATCTACATCTTAAAATTTGATAATTTTTTTTGTTTTTAAAACGTGTGTTTAACAATAATTGTATGAATAGAGATATCCCGAGTAACTATGATAACAAAAAATAAGTATAATGTATATTATTAAATAGAATACTACTTAAAAAAAACTATCATACAATCATTTGTGTTAAAACTATAAAGCAAAATATGTCTGTTTTATTAGAAAACACTAAATTAATAAATAAGATAAAACAAAAACTCATCATCAACAGATTAGGTTAGATATCTACAACGCAGTCTACAAAATCTTATTTTTTTGAATAATTGTATTAATTAGGTTATTTTTATTGAGCATTATATAAATCTAAATTCATTAGTTTTCTCGTATCTTTTGTAATTTTTGCAATGCAAATTGTAATAAAGCCTCTGTATAATACAATATTAGGAGTTAATATTCCTTGTATGACTAACAAATTTTAAGTGTAAGGTGAAATGAGTTCCAGAGATTAATTTAGCACGCAGTTATGTTTGTAGCTTTAGTAGCTACTTATCAGTTCAGGCAATAGTAATTATATGATCAATATAAAGATCATTAAATGATGTTATCTGTTTAAAAATCATTACAGGAAATTCTTTCTTTAGAAAAAAAACTATGTATAAATGTTAAAAAATAGTTGTTCAATGTTTACAATTATTACAGTCGAGGGGGCCAAACAAATATGCAGCTGGTAACTCTGCTGGCTAGACCTCTTCCACCAGTCGAAGATGAAATTTTCAGAAATTTAATAAAAAAATACGAGTTTGACAGCCGGGGATTCGTCTGAAAGCAGAAATGCCAACTGTACATCTGTTTCCCTCCTATCATTTAAAATTATACAAAAATGACATATTCAGTATATATATATACATAAAAACACGTAAAGAATAATTTTAAGTTTTTACAAAATTATTTAACTATGTTGTATTTAGGCTGACAATTAATTCTTTTAAAACATATTATTTTATTTAATATTTATATATTATATATAAAAATAAAACAAAGATAAAATAAATTCATTTCTGAATATGAAAACTGTAAAATTAAAAAAAAAACAATTTTAAGTTTAATTTATACTTAAAAACCAGCATCTGTCATTTAAATGATATAAAATAATGGTAATTAACTGAAATCTACAATATTAATTGTCACACTGTGCAAATACCAATCCAAATATAAATTTCTCAGTAGATTAAAAAATTTCTTCTATCTCTTCATTGTCTTCAATATTTTCTTCGTTAATATCAACTAATAAGCTGTCAATTTTAGATGTATCACTGCTATTATGAGATATGAGCTTATGGCCATCTAAATGCTTAGGAGTTTTAAAATGACCGTGACACATGTCACAATAATTAGCTACTCTGTCTTCTAAATCTCGATCTTTGAATGACCAATAAACACTGTCGACGTGTTCATCTGAATGTTGTTTCATTTCGAGCATATCTAAAGCCAAATAACTACAATCCGATGCTGTGCACCTAATAAAACAAATTTTTTTTTTTAGATTTCAATAAAACAGCAATGCAATAATAGAAGAAAACCAATAGAACTGTGTTTACCTGATAAACTTATTACGCAACAATTCTTCACGCCATTTTGTTAAATGATTGTAAGGAATATCATAAGACTTTCGTTTAAAGGAATGTTTCAATTCATAATCTTCATCATCAGTGTCTTCGATTTTACGTTTTACATTTTCATTGTTTTCAGACTGTAATTCTAGTCCATCTTCTGTTTCCACGAGTTTAAAACCACATTCTTCCTCTGTTAAATGCTTATATCCCTCTTCGTGGTGGTGCAAGAGATGCGTTTTTAGTTTATTTGAAGATGTCGTTCTACCTCCACATATAGAACATTCAAAATCGTCCAAATATGGTTCGTAACAGGTAGCAAAATGTTCATTCATATCATCCAAATCAAATGCCATATATTTGCATGAATTATGATTACAATGAACAAAGCCATTTTTTAATCCGTGAATCCATGTTTTGACCTGATGGTCAGTCGGATTATTTACGTTCACTTCAGAGCAAATAGAATCGTTATCAGCTAGGTCTTCTTGAATTTTCCATTGCGAGTAAGTGACAACTTTGCTGTCTGCATTTATGGCACTCGACGTTGAATGGCCATATTGACCCATGGGATATGACTGGATTTTATTATCATCATCTAGATCATCTTCTTTCTCCTAATATAAACAATACAATTTTAGTAAGAAATAATAATTAAAAAAAAAAAATTGTTTTAAAAAAATATTATGTTGAGCTTTATAGGACTTTATGCTGAAGTTCTAAAAATTGGTACGAAATTAATACAATTTTAATTTTAATAAATTAGTTTAGTAGAAAATGTTTACTGGTATATTTGGAAATATATTTATTTATTATCATAAAATATTAATATACCTGCAAGAATACTTGCAGGCAACATAATATTTTTAAAAAACATTCTCATCGAGGCTACAGTTCTAGGCAAATTAATTTATATCAATTTGATTACTACAGTTACAACAATTTACCTGTTTAATTGGAAACAATAAATCTTTGTGGTGATTGTTCTGGTGGTACTGAAGTGCTTGTTGTGAAGATGTGTAACCTTTGCAGTGACGACAATAAAACTTTGATGACGTATCTGGGTCCTCACCTAGACATTTTTCGTAATGCTGTTCTAACTCGGGCAATTTGTAACTAATAAAATGACATTCCGGCATAAAACATTGAGTATATCCCCGAGTTTTGATGTCTGTAGTCCAAGAAGCTATCTGTTGGTCAGTCAATGTAGGCTTGATGATAATAGACATAACGTCAGAATCTTTATGATTATTGTGCTTATGATAATCAAGCGCTTCCTGAGAAGTGGTCTGGCCGCCACAAGTAGGACATACAAAGTTACCAGCTACCTCACCACGACATGTCTTGAAGTGTTCCCTCATGTCATCAATACAATATGCAATATACCGACAATGCTGGAGATGGCATCGAACGAACCCATTTTTTTCTAACATGATGGACCATGATTTGATGTGCACTGGCCGACTGCTTCGTTTTCTGAACAACCCTTGTACTGGTGCAGGAGTTGTTGGGGCAGATAAAGTGATTGTCACTTCCTCCTTTGGCATAATGACAATATCGTGTATATTTTATTAGGTTATATTTACAAAATATTAAATTTCAATTGACAGACAATTAGCTAAATAAAAATAAATAAGTACAAAGCTTTAAGTAAATTTCACAAACACTTTTAGACAACCAATACATTCAACTGTCGGCTATGCTAAATTGCTATCAATTCTGACTATCAAACACTAAAAAATCAGTATAGTTCCATTTCAATATTATTGTTAATAACGGGATAACAGCTACAAAACATAATAATTATAAATACTTTTCCATGATATTTGAAACAATTTGAGGTTATAAATAAATCAATAATTTATTTTTGATATCATGAACCGATTACAATACTGATAACGCAAAAACTGTTGTTATCAGTTATCACATCGTTACAGCAATGGTAATTTAAATAGGATAAGCTTTTTAAATTGAACTTTTAACCAAAATTAATTTCTTTATTTTGTGTTTCTACTTGAACTTGGCCATTTTAAAATTTATTGTGTTGTATTACAATACCTACATTAATATAATAAACTGTTATTTGTATACCTTTGTATTTCTATAATGGTATTCTTACAGGAATATGCTTTAGATACGTTTTTCAAAGGATTAATTATTGGTGTAATAACAGGTGTAGTCTTGAATAAAGTTCCAAATTATATTTATAGTCTAATACGGAATAATAGGATTATAAAAGACGAGGTTAAATCAAATTCTAAACCTGAACCAGTATCATCTACGAAAGACGAGTATAAAATGGCATTATTAGTTCGACATGATTTAAAAATGGGGAAAGGAAAAGTCGCTGCGCAGGTAATATTTCATCTAGTACTAAGAACTATAAAGCCACCTTTAAATTTTAAAGCTTTATCAACGACTGAATAGATTTAGTCATATTTTATTAAGTTATTCTTATTTTAAGGTAGCTAAGACCAACTTCCCAAACCAGCGGTAAATTCCCTATTACCGTGCATAGTTTAATATGCTGTTCTCCACAGGATTCATTCGCTAAATAGATACTAATTAAAATGTATAATTATAGTGAACCGAGGTGGCCTTTATACATATTTTAATTTTTTGACAACGCTAAATTATCTCTTTTAGTATCGTTAATTAATCATAAATTAAACTATAAACTATTTTTAATCAAAGACCCATTATAGTTTTCTTGGTGCGTGTATAGGAGTTATAATGACAGGTGTGTAGCCACTAGCTTGGGTCCATCAAATCCGTAAAATTAACCAAAAATTAAAACATTTCTTTGGCCATCAATCCAATTCACTTGTAATGGGATCTAAATAATTTTAAATACATTTAGCTATGTCTATAGACATAGCTTGTATATTATACTTATAAGTATAATATACTAATAAGGTCAAGGTATAACCAGTTGTTTATTTGAGGCTCTCTCGTCCATTACTTTTACATGTAACGTAATGAATGGATTATAATTGCCATTTTAATTTATTTTTATTGCGTAGTGTTCACATGCAATGGTACATAGTTATGAAGCGGGTCTTAAGTTGATCCCAGGAGTTATAGCAAATTGGGAATTGAGTGGTAGACAAGTGGATGTATTCAAAATAGCAGATGAAGAAACCATGTTGAAGATTAGTGATTTGGCAGCCGCCGAAAATTTTAACGTGTATATAGTAGTTGATGCAGGGCGTACACAAGTAGCTCCCAAATCAAAAACAGTTATGGCTATAGGCCCAGCTAAATGTAGTCAACTTGACGAAATAACTAGAGAATTTGAAATATACTCTTGAATCTGTACTAGTTTTTTTTTTTTTTTAATGTAAAAAGTCTTTTGTGTTCTAGTGAACTCTAATAAAGGTTTTTAAAAACAAATGTTAAGGGATTAAGGATTAATGAAACATAAAAATTGTTTAAAATGTTAACATTTATTTTAACAATATATTGCTACGTTTACTTTAATTTTTTTAATTATAAATACTACATATGCCCCTGGATATAGGCAACCAAATATACAGTTCAGCAGTTAGTAAATAGGACCTTCTCTAAAAATTACCTATTTTGAATTGTTTTTTTTTCATAATACATAATTTTTGACGTTCAATACATTTCCTCTTTCCTCCTAAAATTGGTGACATTAATATTATTCAATTTGTCAAACTAATTATTGTTTTAGTGTGCAGCAGTATCAGTTACTGCATATAATAAAGGCAAACTGTGCAGACTGCCAAGTAAATGTGCAAGGGTTGTTTTACGAGCACCAGATATAAAAACTATTGAATATATCACAGAACAGTGCAAACAAGTAGGCATTCAAACAGCTGAATTTATAGAAAATGGAAACATTACTGTTCTTGCAATTGGTCCAGCTATTACTACATCTATCGATAATCAAGTAAAAAACTTTAAATTGTATTAAACAAATAAGGAATTTAATCATTATTTAAACTATGAATTGTTATTCCATATTTTATACTAAAAATATGTTTTATCTAATTTGTAATTTTATTAAAAAAATCTGGAGACTGAAAAAAGTGATTTACAATTATTTCATATTAATAAAATAGATATTTTTTTAAATAAATGCAATTATGTGTAATTAGATAATAAAATAAATGTATTATAGAAAATTAAAAAGATACATGTTGGATTTTAAATGATAATTATGAAGATTTCTTATAAAAGAGCTATTAGCACATCATTACTGTTTGCTTCAGTGGAAGGTAATTTTAAAATTTTTTTAAGAATAGGATTACCAGTGACACTGAATTCCATACTGGGGTGGGGCCTTTGGTCCGACCACTTTTCCAAAAATTGTACATTATATCTATAATAGTTCATGCTGAGGCCACTAAGTTTTGGAATTGCCCGACCAAATTTTTAAGACTTTGGAGTCACTAGACAAATGCATACATTTTAATGTGACCAGCATGTAAACAAGTTAGAGTTATAAATACATGACTATAGAAAAAATGTATGCACAAATAAAAACATTTTATGTTTGTGGTCACAAAGGAAAAATTACACAGATTGTAGTCAAAACAAAATATACAAATCATATTTTAATCTATGAATTAAAAACAATAAAACACACATACATGTAGACTGACTAATGCTTAAGTGGCACATAAATACGACTGATAAAAAACGCCCACTGATAATGACAAAAACCAGGCAAAACATATCCACCAAGTGGCAAATCCAAAAATTCCACGGTACACATCCACAGTCAGTATCTATTTAATAATAAAAATGTATTAAGAAATCTACTTTACTACTTAAACAAATATTATTACTTGTTTTAATGAGTGAATAGAAAAATATTGCTCGTTTTCTTTGAATGGTATGTTTTGTGTGTCGTTCATTGTCTTTAATGGTAAATTTGCAAACGGTTGTACCCAACTGAATTCACCTATAATACATAAGAGTTAATACATATCCATAAAAATGTATTACTTTATTTTACAAACAATACCTAATGTTTTGTAAAAGAATACGAAGAACAATATCATAACGAGGGGTATGATGTATTGAAGTACTACAACACACGTGTAGTAAAATATCACAGACACCTTAAATGTAACATAATTATTAATTTCTAGTTGTAAAAAATATTTTCTAAGTTAATTAAAAATTACTTGTTTTTGCAATTCTTTGTTAGTAATTCGGCCAACTTCTTTTTTTTGTCGCTCAAGACGTTCATAGGCCATATTTAGATAGGCTTGCATGTATATCGGCATAAGACATAATCGTTGAATTATTACAAACACAACTATCCAACATCGCAAACTCTCAAATTGTTCTAGTGACATTCTTGGTAATAAAAAAAGTATGTACATATATATATATATATATCTTAGTCATAGTAGTTATCATGAAAAAATTGACATTTATACACTTACAGTGGTTTATTCATTCCAGATAGATTTTTTGCTGTTAACAAATCGACCGCTATTGGTTTTACCCATAGTAAGACTAGTAAAAAATGACTGATTAGACTTATGTTCATTAGACATTTAATGAAATGGCCAGTGATATATTTTCCATAAAAACCGTTCCATTCGTAGTATCTAAAATAAAATAAAATATAAAAGAAGGATATTTTGATTGAAAACATTTTTAAATTTACTTGAGGCAGTCCAAATGCATTTTAGCTGTGCGTATTCCGGGAAAAACAAACATAGCTCCTGTAATTGCACTCCAAACCGCTAAACAAAATTTAATAATTAACTTTGATGCTGGACCCCTAAAGAGTATTAAAAGTTAAAATTAAATAGATTAATGTGTAATGTAATAACGTTGAATAAAATGTTAACAACTTACTGCGAAGACAATCCGTGATTACTTAAAAATTCTATTGAACTTTCATTAAAACTTTTGTAAGCAGTATCCAAACGAACATCTAGTTTGGATTCATCTATGATTAAAATAATCATAACAACGACTAGATAAACAAAAGCAGCTACAATTACAGTCGATCGTTCACCTGATGATTCAAAACCTCCTCGAAAGTATTCCAATGTCAAAGACATTAAAATTTTGCTAAATTAATAATAAATTAAGAAAATGTTTTGTCTGAAATGAATAATACTTAACATAAAGCATAATATAGATTATGACTTTAAAATAAATTCTTAATAAAAGTAATTTGGTTAATTGATAAAAGGATACAAAGCAAAAACAATAACTATTGCACACCATAGCATACTTAAATTTATTTCATTGACTATTGAAGAATAATAAGAATAAACTTCAGTGCTAATATAAACTAAAACTGCATAAAGAGAGAAATTCACTAGCCACTGGTACTCCATAAAGTAACGAAGCTGATATATTTCATGTTCTTGAATTGGCTGGTTTTGTAACTAAAGTAATACAAATATGATTAATATAATGACTACTTATAGTATTTAAATATCACTAATTACTTGAATGTCTAAATTTTTTGGTATTTGAAACATATCAATATTGTCGTTTTTTTTCAGTTTAGAATCTTTTTTTTTCAAGCCCAGTAGTTGCCTAAGCTCTTTATCAGTCGGATACAAGTATCGCACAAGTCTGTAGATATTATACATATTAGGTAAATAAAACTTGATTACAAAATCTTTTCTATTAGTAGATAATCACTTACCCCGTAGAACATAACGACCATTTAGCAAATGAGAAAATAGGACTAAGGCGATGGATAAAATTAACGGCAATCATTGTAATAATTAGTTGAACGCCTAGTAGAGACTAAAAAGAAAAAATAATAGGTTATTACAAACAATAAAAAAAACGATACAACTAAAGCTAAAAGAATATCAATTACACAAATAATACAATAACTAATGTGAAACATTAAAAATAATCTTTTTTTATTAAAAAAACCACCATTTAATATGATAATTAAATGAGAATTATCATTAATTATAATTACTTTTTTTAATATAAATTAATAATTTAATTTATATAAAAAAAAGTTTTAAGTACATTATAAGTAATTTTAAACCTTCTATAATAATATAAGAATGTAAACACCAATCATAATTTTGTAATAAAAAACCATAATAATTGTTCATTTGATTATATATTATATTATAATAAAATAAAATACTGTTTGTAATTTACCGCCATAGTAAGATCTTCTAACCCGTAGTCCGGCAAAGATTACAGAGCAGTTTAAAGTTTCTTCTCACCCAGCAGAAATACTATAAATAGCCGAATAGGACTTGAGCCGGGTAATGATCAATTTGGGCATCAAGTCATTTTAATATATACATTTTTTTATCTCTGGTACTCAGACATATTTTACTAATCTGTAAACACAAATTTCTTAAATGCTCAAATTCATTTCGACGTAGAACTGTATAATTAAACGTCAATCAAAGGAATGACTAGAATTTAAAATAATATAATTATTTTTACAAAAAATTTAAAATATCGATACAGTACAGAACCAGTAGGCATTAAATGATAATATATTATAGTATGCAATACTACTGTATCTATTATCTAACTATATCAGCAGCTATCTACATGCAATACAATATATTTTGGAAAAATCCGGGATATTTAAAATTAAAACGACTAAAGTCCTTGATCTTGCATTATCACCGATTTCGAGTTCTCATGGTAGCACGACAAAACCCCGCCGGTATACACATATTTTCAATGTTGGCGTAAATGATTTTCGGTTTTTTGTCGGGCGGAGTTCTGTCTGGCGGGGTTTTGAGATGTAGCCGTTCTCTTTGACAATCTTTTATGCGTAACAGCAGTATTATGACTACACCATCGTTTTTAGGACAAAAAAATACATCAAATTCTTGTTTTATATTGTTCTTGTAGACTTGTATAATACTATCTTTATTGATTTGAAAAACAGTTTTTTAGTACACGTTGATGGGAAATATAACTTTTGATGGCCTGCATCCTGGTGGCGCGCTCTATAAACAGCGCAACGCGGCGTAACCGCGATTGTCGGCTGCGATGCGTAACCTGTTAGGTATGTTAAAATCACGATGTAGATTGTAGAGAAGATGTATCTTCTCTACATCGTGTTAAAATGTATGTCTTGAAAATTGATAACACGAGTTGCTAAATAAACCAAATATTTGAGGTTATGTTTTCAAATAAAAAACATTTTACATTTCTCTTAAATCTCAATGCTTCTAATAAAGTTATTTTGATTTCAGTTTAAAAGTTTAAATTTAAATTAATCAATTTGAAAACATCTCATCCAAGTAATTGCGTTTAAGGACATTAAAATTCATTAAATCATGTTTAAAACAGGCTTTATCAAGGTAAGTAACTATTTATAATTTGTTTTATTATATTTCAATGTGGACAATAGACATTACTGATTACTCAAATATAACAGATATTTGCTACGTAGCTTGTTTTTAGTTGAGTGTAATATAGATGACTGTAATTTAATTCAACTTAATTTTAGTATATATGTATAGCTATGTTTTATGATAGCCCATGTTGTTGAGTAAAGCAATAAACCGTGTATTATTTTTCAGCTTAACAAAAATGTTGAGGTAAAAGAACAGAAACCAAAGACAACCCACGAAAGGGGTGTCGTATACCTGGGACATATTCCCCATGGTTTTTATGAAAATGAAATGAAACAATATTTCTCACAGTTTGGTGAAGTCACAAATATAAATTTACCAAAGAGCAAGGTATGTTAATTGCTTTAACACAATGGCAAATAGCTAACAAAAAACCAATAATGAGTAAAAAAAATGTAGGCTAAATACTATGTTATACTATATAGGCATATAGTGAATAGCATATGAATAAATATAAAGAATTAATTTTAGTTATAACTTATAATCTCTTGTAGAGAGTTGCCATTTAGCACTCGTACTAGCGTCAACATTTACCAGTCGCCATCCAGTACAATTATATAAATACTTAAAAATGATTTTTCATAGCACTATGCAATATTTAAAAAAATATATATAAATGTTATCGATATCAAAAGTAAAAGACAAATTTGTACTAATATCAGAATTGTATCAAATTAGGACTAGTATATATTATATGCACATTACAATAATGTGACATACAAATCTGAAATTTAAAGGATGTAATTCATAATATGTGTTTGTCAATCACCACTTGTTTTGGCTTTTTTTTACAGATAGTCTAAATATTATTAAAACAACAACTTTAGTTTATAAAATTTACTACTATAATAATAACATTGTACATTAGGTGTTTGTATATCATTTTTAAGTGGACGCTACAGCGTCCATTTCTAAGGAATAAAGTATAGGCAATTTTTCACAAAATCTTAATTATTCAATGTAATAAATTTATTACAGAAAACAGGAAGAGCTCGTGGATTTGGATTTGTAGAATTTGAGTTCCCAGAAGTTGCTAAAGTCGTAGCAGAAACAATGAATAACTATTTAATGCACAAAAAAATTATTAAAGGTATGTTACTACCTAATATAAAGTTAAGTCTCGATAACACAACACAATTTATTTTATTACATTAATAAATATTTTTTAATCATTTTTTAGTAAATTTATAATTTCCTAAAATTTGAACTTGGAATTTTTTAAGTCACATTTTATTCAAAAACTTTGTGATATTGAAATTAGCTCTTATGAAGAAAATGTGGATTAGTTTTTGTTGTATGTTTCATGAATATTCAAGAAAATGTAAATTCAAAATATTAAATTCCACTAACTATTCGAATAGCCATAAAGTTTGAATAACATTAACTTAAATATGAACCTTTTGGAAGTTCAGCTATGTGTATATTTATGTGTATTGTAAAATAAGTTGCTATTGTTCAAATATAATATGTGTGAAAACTTTTTTTTTTCTAGCTAAATATCTATCACCTGATGAAATCAGAAAGACCACTTTTAGATATTGCAACAAAAAGTCAATACCATTAGTAATTAAAAACAGATCTATTCAGAGAAAAATAATGGAAAGACCTTTAGATCCAGAACGTGAAGAAAAAAGTAAAATGGCTTTAGAAAAACGATTGAAAGCATTTAAGAAAAAATTAAACAATAAAGGAATTTCTTATGAAATACAAGTAATGTTTAATTTAAATTATATACAAATTTATAATAGGCATCCATACAATTTGTTATTTTTAATTTTCGTTGTATGTAAATTCAAAATATGAAACCTTAATGTGTAATCAAATGATTAGGAAAATTTACATTAAAACTTATCAAAGACAAGAGTTCAACGATGATCAAAATTCCTATTTTTCGTGTTATTAGCATTCAAAATTGAAAGTAGTTAGTCGTGTGATTATTTTTAGCATCCCCGTTTTGTAAATTAAGTAGATTTAGCTAATAAGTTTTAAATTATTACAATCATTTTTTATCAGACTATTTATTTAATTAAAATTGTATTAATAGTAAAAATATACTAAATCATAACATCTCGAAACTATACATTCATATTCTGGAGTTACAAGATAAATTTATAATTGCAATTTGGTTTCTACATAGTACATTATACACAGTTCTAAAACTATTGAAATGGCTGTAAAGTTTTGTAACCTGAGTCTCGGTAGGAGGAGAGAATGTTCCGAGTTTTATTTAAATACACAAATAACTGTGTATTTATGCTCTTTACTCAACTACTAACTTACTGTTATGCCTTGTTTACATTACGTTCAGACAGTGATCTCGGCTGAGTACTTGTCCATCTAAACAACACAGGCACATTACTCGGCCTAGTAAATAGAAACAGTTTCTATTCGCTCGGCCAAGTAGCATAACGAGTTTCTTGGCCGAGAACTCGTCTAATGTAAACAAGGCATTAGTAGTAGGCACCGCTCGAGCTGTCTGACTAGGTCTAAGATCTTAGGTCCTTCTCCATTCAACTAGACAGTGGCCAACACCAATTTCCTGACTTTCTTATTAATACAGTAGATTACAGTAAATCAGGGATTTGTAAACTTTGGTTTTGACATGCGTAAAATGGTTAACTAAATTATTAGGTATACAATAAAATTAAAATTGTGTAAGTATTTATTTTACTTATAGTAATTTTCTTAAATGACATTATTTATCTAAAGTATTTATTATTATGATATTTTCTTGTAAATTGCTTTAAGTAATTAAAATTGGTTTTAATTAAATTAGATGTTCAATCCTGAAACACCGAAGCAATCAAATAAAATGTCTAAGAAGAAAGGTATTGAAAAGATTGTTCATTCAGTTGTTAGTTTACCTACTGCTACTGTTTCAAAATCATCAGAAGATATGGAAATCGACAGTAAGAAAACAAAAACAACATCAAAATCACAAAATTTCATAAACACTAGTACAAAAGACACTAAAAGAAGATCGTTAAGGAAAAAATTGTAACTTTTATTTATGTTCATGTAACTGTAAACATGACTTAATGAAAATATATATTCGGTATTGCTTATATAACTTGTTTATTCTTTCCATGGTTTCAATGAAAAATCACCGATTATGTCAACGCATGGCTTCAATGAGTTACTAAAATAAAATTAAGATAAAATTTAAAAATCACAACGTAATTTTTTTGATGATGTAATCAATACCTCTCTGATAATTGTACAAAAGCATCTGGCTGCATGTTTTTTATATCGTCACTGATTAAACAGATCACCATTGACATAGTCATTTTTCGTATTTCCTTTAGTTGCTCTAAAAAATATTCATTATGAACATTTTAAATAATTAAAAAAAAAAAATTATATATATTTTTCATCCATAAATAACCTGCAGTAAATGGGTATACTTGATTTTTAGACTCGAAATAAAATTTATCTGCCTTTTGTAATATAGAAAATTGATGCCCAATCATTTTTTGTAATAAAGGACCGACCAATGAACCGGAATCAGGTTCAACGTTTTCTAAGACGGCACCTACAAATAGGTCGATATCCTCCATTGAAGGATATTGTGTCTGTAGTCGTTCCACCATCTGATAATATAAAATATTGTTTTACTCAAATATCTTATTAAGATATTTTAAAATATGGAAAAATTAATTTATTATTACATTTTTATCTATCAGATTATCTTCACTCAATTGTTCCCAAGTTTTTGGTGAATCTTTTCCTCTAATTGGAAAGTAATCGGGGTAGGGTCTCATGCCATAATCTCGATTCCTTCCTATATCCAACGATTCCAAGTCTGTCCCTACGCCATTAACTTGAAACAGCTTGTCGGTAATCTATTAACAGTTGGTTGTTATTAAGAAATTTCTAATTTTAGTTGGTAAATAAAATAAGGTTCCAAATTTTACCGCTGTGGGAAAGAAACGGTTTTGCCGACCTTGTCCTTGGGTTGCCATTCCTCTCAACATTTTATCAAAGTTGTTGTCCTCGCAAACAAACCATCCCGTCTTTTGAAATTGTTCGAAATTCCATACACCGACCACATTTCGTTGCTCATCCATTAATCTACAAAAATTCCCTTATTTACATCAATTTGTCGTTAGTGCCGTGTTAAAACTTTAAAGTCACACCAACAAAGAATCCGAAAACTTAGGTGCCTTAAGTTTTATTAGTTTATTATATCCCTGTAAAAGGAACCGCCATAGGCATCCATAATAAGTAATCACTATTTAACTATTTGATAATGATTTTTGACGAAAGTTTGATATGTCATAATAATATTATAATATTGCATATTTAGCAGCTTGGATACATGATTATCCCTTCCCTGAACATTTTCAGATGGATACACTGAGGAGGAAAGATTATTCAAGGCCATACATTCAAAGTAACCGTTTACTATGTCAATTAACATATTTTGTACGAATCTACTTGTCATCTTTTTTATGTAATAGATTTGTTTTTGTTCATTTAACGAACAAGGCGTAGGTAAGTTTTCTCTTCGACTTTTGGGTGTTATTTGCATTAACGCCGGGCCATACACGATAAATCTTGAATGAATAATAAGTCTTTATTTATATTGGCAGTTGGAATGTCGATTGACGATGTCCATACACTGCCAGTTCAAAATATCAAAAAAGTAAAAAATTGAACCACCCTAATATAATACTTATATCTATATATTTATGTATATGTATATATATGTGTAATTTTTTTTAATGTGCAGCGTGTAGAGCTATTTGCAAGATTTACAAAACACTTGAAATCAATTTCAAAACACACTTGTCAATCGTCTTCCATTTATAAGCAGATGTTTTTTAATATGGCGTAGGCTATCGCCTATCTGTGCCTAGTTAATCAACGGTTAGTAAGATAATTTTCATTTTATCAATGAAGTACGATCATTTTTTTTAGATTAATTGTTATGTAACTAATTCATACTTCATTTGTCCCGTTATTGTACTGTGCAGACATCTGAAAGCCACCCCGCTAAATTCTGCCGTCATTTGACCGTGTACCGTTGAATCGAACAAGTCATTGTAACCTTCAGTCTTAACAGACATTTTAGCTTCATCCATAAACTTTTTGCCTAAACAAACAATAGCGGTAATTTAACAAGTTGTGCACTCACAAAAAACATACGTGTTAAATATACATTTTCAAAAGTCTTAGAATTTTTAAAACTCGAAATTAAAATATATTAAAATTTTTTTTTTCAATGTTAATTGTCAACTTGTTTCACGTTTTACCCAATAAATGGACTAGGTACGACCCGTATGTGATCATTTGTAAACACGCTATGAGGATTCGGCGGGATTCTTCGAATAATTGACCGTCATTCCAGTGTTTATTTAACTTCTTCAATTCTGCCGCTATCCAATTATGTAGTCTCAATAGAAGCACTTGCATTGCAACTATATTTGGACCGGCATTACTTCGAAAATCACCTACATAAAAATAAAAAACATTGAACATTTAGTAATAGTCAATAGAGCAATTTCCATACATCATTTGTTTTATGATTTACGTTGTCATATTTTAATTAGTGTCGTTGAGGACATTAACAGTGGAGCAGTTAAACGAATTATATTCCTTTTTATGATTAGTCATAAAACCTAACCAGTATCTGGTATAGAGTTCGTTTATAAAATTTAACTTATTTAATCAGTTGTTAACTTGACATACCTGCTTTAATGCAAAGCTCTTGGTCGGAAGCTGCATTACACGATATTTTGGGATCTTGTACATTTGGAGGATACATTCTGTTATCAATCATTTGAAAACTCATTAGACCATCCTTTTTCATACGAAGCTCATTGTTGGCATTTTCCGCCGAACCGTAAAGTAATGAAGCGTCTATGTAAGCCGTGACGTGGTTTATCTGTAAATCACCCAATGCCGATAGTTTAAATTAATAACAAATTTATTACAATAGTTTTTTAAAAGACATAATTAAAAATGCTTTTGGGGTCGATATGTAATGTAATATGTTATGTTCAATTTATTTTTGAAGTTTCGTGGAGATGGGTGATATTATACAATATATACTCACAATCCATATTAGTTTTAAATACAACACACCGTATGATTACTATTAAAATATTTAATATAAACAAAACTATTGATATCTTAACAAAAACACATTGTTAACTCTGTGTAAAGGTTCGCCAAGTAAAAAAAAACTTTATTAAAAAGTGATTTTTACAAAAGATTTAAAAAATTAGATACATAAATCATAATGTATTCTTAATATTAAACATTTATGTCAACAAACAAAATTTTATGTAAAATTTGGTTTAAGTTTTTGGGGAAAGAGTGGATTCGGTTGCCCAGCTCTAATTGTACAGGACAAGGCGAAGGAGAAGAAGATGCATAATATAATTTTTAAATGTAAAAATTTACCGGTAAGACAGGGCCGACATCACAATTAATATCGTCCGTATTCTTTGATCTGTTCATGTTTAAGCACAAAACCTTGAATTTGGAATAGAACTTATCATTGCTGGGCACATTGATAGCCTCACAGGTTTGTGGAATTGAATTAGGTGGAAGCCTGGTTTGCTGTGCAGTACAACATGAGGATCCTTGAAATTAATTTAAGGGTTAGTCGACAGTGCATTTCGGAGCAATAAGTGAATAATGTAAGTACAGTTTCTTACCACCCGTTTTCGACAATGTACCAGACATGTCGTGAGCGAGAACTTGTCCGAATTGACACATTAGCACAGTGTATTTCATATCAGTATCAAATTCCGGTTGATCAGTGAAAAATATGGTCGACAGCACTCGAGGACTAACTAATTCCTTGTTGTTGACTTGAGTGCGGATTTGTCGCTTACCTGAATCGCGAGCGATGGACAGTTATAGTTACGAAGTGTTATTATAAATGATTTTAAAATCGACAGAAACTACATTGATCTTACCATCTTTGTACAAGGCGGGTAATAGGCGGGTAAAAACGGAACCAGCCATGCCCCATGTCGGATGATCTGGATTCACGCAGGAGCCATCAAACGTTCTGTATTTATATGACAAGTCGCATTTGATAGATGGATTCGCAACGCATTTGTCTCCGACATCACGTTCTTTTCCAGTCAAAATATTCTGCAGCACTGACCCTAAACAATTCCATTATTTTTGCACACACATTTTGACATTGGTTTGATAAATGCTCTAGCTTTACAGAGTGGTTCATAATAGATAAGACACTCGTTTTCCCTTAAACTAACTACATTACCGTTGGCTTACAAGTAAAATACATTAAGTCAAGAGCTACATGATGATATTTGTTACAATTTAAAAATTAATAAAGATTAGGAAAATAATAAAAAAAAGTTTAGTATTTAGCAATTTTATAATATTGTACAATAACATGAATAAAAAAGTTTTTAAAAAGAAAAACTACAAAACTGAAATTAGTTTAAAAGAAACGAGTGTCTTATCCTTAATAAATATACAGTCTGTTACAAAGATATGACAAATGCATTAACTTTTGTTCTAGGGAATATTTTATTAAGAATAATTTGCTAAACATTTCGTCTGGTCGATAATCAATTTTAGGTAATTACTTTTTAAGTTATTTAGGTTTAAAGTTAATGACTTTAAAATGTAAAATAGGAAGTGGAGTGCACTCCACCTCCTGTTTTACATTTTAACCTTTAATAACTTATTCAATATTAATACCCAAAATTGGTTATCTACCAATCAATATTGTCAGTAAACTATTCTTAATTTAAAACGTTAATTAAATATAAAGATTTATCTTCAATAAAAAAAATGTAACAAAAAAAAAAAAATTAAAACAGTTAAGAACAATAAAACTCATGGTGTAGCTGTTTATAGCGCAAATAAGTATCACTTAATTCTAAAATAAAAACATTAAAAATATTCACTAAACAAAAGTTATTTTATTTGTCATATCTCTGTAAAACATTCTGTATATATAAATAAATATTCATATAAATATAAATATTTTTATTTATATCGATTAAAACAAATAAATTACCCGTGGTTTGTGATTGGGCTAACTAAAAAAGAAAAAGAAAAATTTAATTTAATAAGTTTTGATATGTATGTTTTGTATTTTTGTAACTAAAATGAGTGGCGTAGTCTAGGAAGAGGGTTCTTCTAAATTTTGATGACCTAAAGTAGTTCAAAAAAAAATTTTAAAAATCCCCCCTAAGCTACTTTGCTCTACCACAATTTTAACACGTGCCACATATTATGTTCTGGCCAAATAAACAATAATCTTGGTGCTTAGTTTTGCGCTACTTTAGTATCAAAATTTAGTGTCGTTTTCGGACGGGGGGGGGGGACAAGGCTAAAGCATGTTCGATGCAAATAGGACAGAATTTTTTTCAAATTTGGCCTAATAAAGTACCTTTTGAATACGAATTCTTATTTATGAACTTACTATATGAAGCAATCTATCTATAATCTATTGCTTAAAACGTTATTGTGTTACAGCACATAAAAATTCAAAATAATAAAACCACATCATTGTAAAACTAATACATTTAGCTCACCGAAGCTAAAAAATATATACGTACCTATATATTTTCTTTTAGATAAATAATTAGAATTTAAAACCTAAATTTAAATCGTCCTCTGAGCCATCTTACAAAGGCGAAGTGAAATTATTATATATTGATGGCATCGCTGTTATTATAAAAGCATTTTTTTTAGGAACTGAGACATGTTTAGACAATGTTTACTCAATAGCCTCCTACACAATATGTTTAAAAATTGAAAGCTTGAGCCATAATTTTGAGGACATAAATGTTAAAGGACATAAAAGCCGATGTATTTTCAAACATTGCTGATAATTTATAAAAAATTACTTATGAGTTATGACACATGTGCTCACATATCAACTATAATATAGATTCGATATGCCTATATTGCATTTGATCCGGAATGACAATACATTGATCCCTGGATAAAATACACGATAAAACATACTGACTGAGCCTCGATTACAAAAAAGCATAATAAATAAACTAATACTAGAAATAATATTAGAAATTAAAATTAAATAAAGTGTTAACGCTTTACATAGGAAACATAAGTTTTGAATTTTGATGTCCGAAAACAATAATAGAGATTGTTTAGAAAAAGATAATAGAACTGTTTTTTTATAAAAAAAAAATCAACCAGCTGAAACTAATAACATAAGAAAAATTAGGGCAGCAAATATATCTGTGCCTTTACCTTACTGCCCTTTTTTTTAAATGTATGCATTTTCAATGTGTTAAATGCATTTGTATAAATTAAATATGGAACCAATATTTGAACAGCATCAAACATATATATCTGTTTTGTACAATAGCTATCACACATAATAACTATTAAAATGGCGGTTTGATATAAAATAGCTTAAATATACAAATATTGCATTCATACTTTTCCAGTTAATTGACAATTACCCAACTAAAACTTAAAAATGTATAACTTAATTAAAAAAAAATGAAATCCGTAAAGTAGACATTCTAGACTTTGCGTTATAGATTTTATTTGTATACAAATTTCCTCTTTTCGTTTCCCCTTAACAAGAGTATATTCAGTATATCTAGTATATTCTGTATTTTTGGAGTGTTTCAAATTAATTTGTTTCGAAGAAGAACCACAATATAAATTTTTCAAAGAAAGAACATGGTAGAGAAGTAAAATGTAAAACTTTTTGAAATTAAAGGTTATATTTTGAAAATTGTTTTGTATAAGTATTTTAATACTACTCGTAATTTTATTAGTATCGAAATTAGGCTTATTATAAACTTTTAAGAAATTATAATGTAAAATACTTAATTAAAACTAAATTATGAAATTAAAATCATGCTTAGTGTTTTATTTAAAGCAAATATAAATCAAAGTTTTATGAAATTCGGGCAAAGAATAAAGAATTATTAACTGGTAAACAATATAAATAATATCAAAAAGATGGAAATAATAGTATTCTCAAATGATATTAAACTGATCTTGCTACCATAAGGCATTAACCATATACTTGATAAACATAAAACCATTTTTACAAATCTTAAAATATCCTAAGTTGTTTATATCATTAGCAGTGTACACTACGTGGCAGCTTCGTATTTTCAACACTGTAACCAAGATTTGTGTTTATTAAGACTTAAGAGTAATTACTTACTTTGTCAGCAAATAGAAATATTCCTATACCGAAAACTAAAAAAAAATTTAAGTGCAACATTTCGTGTTTCTAGTAAACCAATGACTACTAAACTGAACAATAAAGTAAAAACTTTGTTTTAATGGTTTTAATAAAATTGACGTATAAATAATGACATAATGTAGGTGCATAGAAATAATTAAAAATAACAATTTATCAGGAGAAACATTATTTACAAAAAGTACTACATAATACAACAACTAGCAATACAAATATATGTTTTAGCAGGTAACTAAAATCCACCTGAATAAACGAAAATGTAAATAATATCTATCAGTATTTATATAACGAATAAAGAATTTTTTTTAAATATCGTTAAAATAAAACAAACGTAGTTAGGATTTCTATTAAGAACTGGAATTGCGAAACCAAGCCGGAATATTTATAACCAACGGAAATTAGATTTACTAAAGTTTTTTTTTCAAAGAGAAAATAATAACTATCATAATGATATTAACAGCAATAATGATTAGTAATAGACTTTTAGATTTTATTAACTTATTTCATATTTTTATATCTAAAATAAGTGATCACCAGCCGAACCTTACTAAATAGTAGTATAATAAATGAATAGAAATGAATTATAAAATATGTTATTTTGTTATGTATACTTTAAAATTTAAATACAATATTTCTTCAAACTCAGTAAGCTTTAAAGTTATCATCCGTTAAACAACATAAGATTAATTTTTTTTTCAACCTAAACATTAACGGCTATTGTAGTAATTTTAAGTTTTAGTAGTAAAAAATGACTATTTTTTGTTATACCGGTGGATCACCGGTTTTATAAATTAGGATTGTTAGATACTTAAACATCAGGGAAGGTATTATTTTGTAATGACTTATTAAAAAGCAGGCACAATGGTAAGAAAAAAGAAAAATGGCAGATATGCCTTCGAAGTTCATATAGTTACTAAAAAATGTGATAGAAGCATCAGAAACGTCATAACTAATATTAAATATTTTTAGATATTAAGATTTATTATAGAGTTGGACAACAAAGACTAGGTTATCATAAAGAATCGATCAAGGCATTTTAAAGTATAAGTTGTAGTTCTGTATATATTTTATATCAAGTTTGTAACTTGTAAGTATATGTTATTGATCTGGTAACTTAAAAAAACGGTCAAGAGATGTAATATAAATATAACAATATTGTTTAAGTAATAACAGATAATCTAAATCATAAGTTGTAAAGAGGGTCCACTAGTGAGTAAAATACTGTGTCCTTGGCCTTAACTAAGGTTTTGCTGACGTGGATATAAGAATTACTCAAATGCGTATTACTTACTTGACGTAGTATTATAAATTATATTACTTTAATTATAAATTAAATTTGACTTGATAGTAAAAAAAAAAAAGAAAACCATATTTAATTTCAAAATAAAAAAGGTAAGACTTTATGATGCACATTTTTTTTATTAACGTAATTTATTTGAATTGTGTCAAGTTCAGGCTGTTATTTCAAAATAAAGTAATAAAAATGGTAATTAAGTTTAAAAACACATATCATTAGCTACCGCAATAATTTTTTAGAATTCTATTATTTGCTGAATAAAGACAAACACACTTGTGCGTGCATTGCAATAAATGTAATATGTAATGGAATGATTCAAATTAAAATATGTTAGCCTAAAACTAGTATTTGGCATGTATTTTAACAAATTTTAATAAAATAAAAAATTATCTAAGAATAAATTATAGTTTCAAATGAAGTGAAGAAAATTATTGTAATTACATAAAATAGGCATCTAAGCGTACTCTACTGCATATTTTTAGTATTTCCTTAATATATTTTTTCCTATACATACATGTTTATATTTAACGTATATTTTTTATAAATTGAAGCAAAATTTGTAGATTACATTAGTAAAATTAGTAGTTTTTCAAGGCTTCGTAAATCGTACATTATTTTCTAGCCCAGGGTTTCAACGAGAAATCGCCAATTATTTCTGTACAACGTGTCAATGGGTTACTAGAATAAAATCAATTTATAAAACTGATATTAGTTATTTAAATTGAAAATTAACTAATATTTAAGTGTTTACTCTTCTGAAATGGTTCTGAAGACATCCTGCTGCATTAGTTGTATGTTATCACCGCACAAACAAAACACCGTGGCTAACGTCACTTTTCTAATTTCTCTCAGTTGTTCTATAGAACATACAAATTGATTAGTTGGGGTTTAGTATTTGCTTGTAGTTATATTGTGCTATCAGTTAATAGTTTTCTTTAATGTTGTAACTTATAAAGATGCTGTTATTAAGACTTTTTTATATTAGTATTTTTTTTTTTTAACAAAATATGACTGGTCAATAAATATAGTTTTTAATAAATTGTGTATCTTTGTTATAACACAAACGCATTTAATTCAACAAATTATTTATGTGCTGTATAAAAAAATCAAAAAAAAATCGTTAAAGCAGCTTGTTGTCCATTTTTTGTGAAATTTCGGGCATCTATAGAAGAACAAAGCTTAAGAACTACCGATGCTATGGTATCTGACCAACGCTATGCGCTTCAAAGAATGAAACTGTGGACTTTTTTTAAATTGATTATTGCAATGTACCTAATGTAAAAGAATGGGGTTGATCTCCGAGCTCATAGTAATGTCGGTCTCCACGTTGCAAAAGATAATACTGTTCAGAAATAATTGCTAGAAATGTAGGGCCAAACATCGTTCCTTCGACTTGATTTTCAAGCATTCCGCCTAAGAATGGATCCACGTCGTCGACGGTGTCGTAAAACAATCTCAAACGTTTTACTATCTTTAAAAAAACAAATATATTTCACTTAAATAAACTACAAACAAATTATCTTTATGATATATTTGAATACATCTCTATCCATTGTTTCTTCCAAATCTTCCCAACTCTCTGGGTAACCCAATCCGACCATATTAATGAAATGAGGATACGACTTCAAGCCGGTATCTCTGCCTCTTCCAATATCGGTCGCTGCCAAGTCCGAACCCACGCCGTTTTTTTGTAACAGTAGATTTGAAGTCTAAAAACTCATTTATGTACAAGTATAAAGACACTCTTGAGTGTTTAATTTTTATTTTGATACTAAATTTATAAATATACGAGTACATACAGACATTGGGAAATTGAGATCCATTTTACCCATTGGTTGATGTGTCATTCCCATTATTACTTGGTCGAAGTGGTCTCCTTGTAAGATTATGGATGTATCGTCATAAGTATCACTAAGTGTCCATGTACCAACAACACTATGGGTGTAATCGAGCAATCTAAATATGCAACTATGATAGTTAGTGCATGACCACTTTCTCGTATAAAATAATGGTTTTTTTTTTTAAACTTGTTGTTAATTGATATATTTTGTTTGTTAAAAATGACGTTCCGCCCTATTTGGATTCCACTTCGAATAAAAAATAGAGACATTTACAAAAACCTTTACTAATTCCCATCATAACTTTATGATGATACTACTGTAAATTCTTAACTATAGTTGTTGATTGCCTACTGTAATTGCAATAGTACTTGCTACAACTTACTCATATTCATCCAGTATCATACTATGTAGACTTCTATACGCACATGCGACGAATTCAGTTGAAATTTGGATGTCTAACGATGAGTCGTATACATTGTTGTAACCCTCGGATACGGTAGCTAGTCCAAATGAATCCATGTATTGTTTACCTGAAAAATCCGGATAATAAAGTCGATTTTCAAAATAGTTTAGTTATGTTTAAAAATTAATAAAACTATGCATTAATTATCAATAACTAGACTTTGTCGGCATAACTCATTTATAGCGCCGTATAATTGTTTCAAAAAAAAAATTGTCCACCTACCTAATATAATGGGCAAATAATGTCTGTATGTAATATGTTGTACAATCGCGCTAATAATAAGACGGCCCTTTTGATACAGCTTCTCATCGTCCCAATGGGTGTTAATTTTTTTTAAATTGCCAACCATCCAGTTGTGTAACCTAAGAAATAGCACCTGCAATGATTGAATAAGAGGCTGTTGATTTCCTCTGACATCGCCTAGGTGTAGAGAAGCCGTTAATTATTGAAAGATCTAGTATTTACAATATTCTTAGCCATCCATACCGGTTAGCATACAGATTTTTGAATTTTTAGCGCAACGGTTCCCAGAATTTTTCATGTTGGGGGGGAAATCGCGGCCATTTATATTTTCTACTCTTAATCGCCCATCTTTAAACTCTCGAATTAGCTTGTTGGTCTCCGCTGTCGATCCATAGACAAAAGATGCATCTAACGCAGCAGTGTTGTTGTTTATCTGTAACCATTAACAATTAGCATTATTTTTAGATTTTTAACAGGATTAAAAAACACTGGATTTGGTTTTTAAGTTAGCGAGTAAAATGTGATTTTCGCCCTGAATTCTATAGGAACTCTTGGACGTACCCGTGACATTTTTTTAAAGCGTTTGAAATTGATTAAATATAATTAAATATGTCAAAATAAAATATTATTAGACAAAATTAATAAATAATAATAATGAATTTTTTTCTTCATAGAATAACAATTTTTAATTTTAAGAAACTATTAGATATGGTTTAGGCGCCTTCAACCACAAAATTCCTTAATAACTTTTTCAAAGATTCAGAAAACAAATTTGCCTAGGTCTTCAAGTAATTTGTACGTTATATTGTTCTAGACTATTAAAAACAAAGTACAAAGTTTTTGTTACTATTTGGTAATACAAGATGTATTTCAAGGTGTACATTATTGCTGTATTTATGTAATATGGATTTGGTTTAACTGTTTTTTAAATTAATGAAACTATATAAGTGTTTTGTTATGTAATACTGATTAAAGTAAATATTTTAAGAATTCTTACTGGAATTGCAGGCTTGATAGAACAATTGATGTTCTCAGTGTTTACCAATCGTTTTATATTTAAACATTCTGTATGAGAAGCCGAGTAGAACAAATCATTGGCAGGTATCACAATCGCCAGACAGTTATTGAATTCCTTATTTAACGGCTTACTGTCATCAGTACAGCAACTGGGCCCTTAAAATCAAAATCAAAATTATTTTTATAAAAACATACTATTATGTTTTAGCCAATTTACCATTCTGGAACATAGATAGATGTAGGTCGTGAGCTGAGAGTTGACCCCACGCCGATAGGGCCACGCTGTGCTCTGAGTCCACGATATTTTCATTTGAAAAAAACTCTGTAGTCAAAACTCTCAAGCTAGGTAAAGAGTTTCCACTTTTTTGTGTTCTTATTTCAGATATACCTAATGGTTTTAAAGTCAAGAAGTTACTTGTTAAACTACATAGTTGAACTTCATCTATAGCTACAACTCAACTTACCGTCTTTGTAGAGAGCAGATAGCAAACGAGTGTACGGTGTATGTGTCATTCCCCACGATGGATGGTGCACGTTCTCACACACACCGTTCAACGTTCTGTACTTGTAAAATCTATCGCATTTGATATTTAAGGATTTGCTGCAAACATCTCCAGCATGTTGTTTATTCGGTGGTAACGTATTCTTTAATCGTAAACTTCCGTGAACATCTTCTTTGGAGTAAATTATAATTTATAAGTGAAAATATGTCCGAACTAATAAAAAAGGGTACAGGGAAAATCCCATTTTTCAAAATTGCTATTTTTTTTGTCATTACATATGTTTAGACATACTGCGTTCTTAAAATATTTTTCTTAGGTATAACAGAAATTGGAGTTTTTGATTTTCCCCTATACCATTCATAGCATTCATATGCATAGATATTAATTAAATTTATATCTAAATTTACTAAAATATTCGCAAAAAAAACCACACAGTTATATTTGTCAATGAATTGAATAATTGAAACTATAAAAAAAATATAACTAATATGTACTAGCTTTTAACTTGACAATAGTTCTTTTGAATGTAAAGTGATTTTCATAATTTAAAAAAAAAGTTACCTGGCTCGTAGTGGTTTTTATTAAAGGAAGCATTATATAATTAATATACCAGGTAAAAGCATTATCTAAGGTTTTGAAACAAATGCCAAGATTTAAAATAAAGTTCGGTGTTTCTGGATGTTAATGGTTTCAAAAGATCCGCTTTTTTATTTGTTCCAAAACTCTAAAAATCCTTATCATATATTATAACATTATTTTTATCCAATATCATATTTCGCTCCGAAATATTAATAATTTCAATTATTTTAAAACATTTATGAGTAATAAATATTGCTAACATAATTAAAAGCCAAAATACCAAAATAAATAGTAGTCTATATAGGTGCAAAATTTCTTTTTAATAGAAACTTTCAAGAAACAACATTCAAAATTCAAGAAAACTTTACGATGCAAACTGATCCCACTGAATTTCTTACTGTACTGTTTTATAGTGCGCTAATTTGTACCGTGCTTGGTTTGTACTGTGTCAGTTTTTTATTAAATAACTTTACATTGAAACTAAAACTCACCATCTAAAAAGGCATCGACTTTCTGAAAAATAACAATGTAATATTATAATTTAACGTTTTGTTTCTCTATAATTTTTATCTACTTATTACGTCATTATTCAATGATTCTGATGATAGCTATTTAACTATGACATTATATATTTTATCTATAAATAATAGCATACTAATATTTAAAAATTACTTGGTATTAATGACATTATGTTTGGTTAAACACACTGAACAGCTAACAACTTACATTGATCAAACACATAAATATTCCAATTTTTATAGCGGTGAGATAATTTAAAATTTGCATTTTGTTAATTTAATTCAATATTTTTATTTTATTAAATAGTTAATTAAACCAACTTTAAAGAATAGTTAACAAAACCACTACTAATTATGATAGAGAACATTTATAAATAATTTTAATACTTCTTTTCATTATGTTATTAATGGACGTACTAAGGAAAATTATGACATTCAACAATATTTAAACATTTTCTATTTTTGAAATCTCTATTTGACCAATTATATTTTTATTTTAACCTAGATTTATTTATGTCAAAACATTTGTTCAACTGAAAAAATAAAGTTTTTTATTTACACTATTCCATAATTAATTATATTATTTTGTTTTGTATCCTAAATTACAAATTTTCCAAAAAATTAGAAACCAATACCTTAAATATTGAAGACTTATTATTTTTAAGGCTTATTGTTGTTGTTTTAAAAAGACATTTTAAAATTATAATTTATAAACATACTATTTGTTGTTGTGTGGCTGATGAAACAGACTGGTGAAAAATAGACATCAATAACTGATATCGCAAACATGTTAAAATTTCAGCAGCTGCCAGAATTCAGGTATAATGGTTTCCTTTTTACATTTGTCAACTGTATTTTCCAACAATTTGGTTGATTTTAATTAGGCGTACAGCTGTCAAATATGACCGTAATGATGACGAACATGAAACCCATATAGGAGTAATATAAATATAGTTTTTAAAAATGTTAAATCTTTGGATGACTAATGTATTGTGTTTTATAATTTATACTCAACTGTCTGCGTTCACACTTTAAGCGAAAGTCAGTAATTATCTAATTATCCGACCTGAAGTATTATAATTATTACCAAAAATATGTTTTAAGGTAGTAAGGATTTAAGGTTTTTTCTTCTAGTTTTTTAATATAATTTGAAAATTATATTATTATATATAGTTATTTAATATAAACGTTGTATTGCCAGTTAAACCGCAGTAAATATACTGCATACTTAATTACTTTACAATGAAATAAATAAAACTCATACTACTTATCAAAACTAAACGTAAATCCTTTAAATTACTCAAATTCTACTATTAAAAATTCTCAATTAGATATGTTTTATACTATTCCGGAAGGACTGTTACCTCACTAACGTACTAGTGATACTAAAATATTATATTAAATATTGACAAATTGTGTTAAATATTCGTCTCCTCCTCTTAAGCCACTAGAACGATTTTTATTTTTATTTCTCCTTCGTCAAACGCTCAAGTTAAATAGGCTATTTAAAAGTTATAATAGTCCACCTCTTTTTAAAAACTTCCACTATGGAACTACAGACAAGCGCAACCTTGTGAATCATTTTTTCGATTTTGGCTGAAATTGTGGTATTTTATAGCGTACAATGTTTGGCTGCTAACGCCATTCAGTGCAGTTTTTCACTAAACGGAAACAACCCAATTTAATCACCAGTTTGTCTTCTTCGTGGACACGAAAATAAATTAGTCACTTCATTGATAGTAGCTTGAAGTGAATAGTACTCTTAATCTCTACGACTACTGAAAAAAGTCGATTGAATGAATTAGAACCTATCTTTTCTTACCTAGTGTATATTGTAATTCGCGAAATTTAGGATTTGTTCTTACAATCCCGGTCAAAGTACAATACTAGTATAATTAAAATTAGCAGATAGATAGATTTATTAAGTTAAATAATGCAGTGTATACATTTAAATAATTAAATATATTATAATTATTCGTTTAAAACTTATTTAAAAATGGCATCGAAGTGAAAAAATTTATAAATTTATCTTGGACGTTTTTTAAGCTCCAAGAATTCTGATGTTTCCATGGATTAAAAGAAAAGTCTCCAATTATATGATTGCAATTTTTTAGCGGATTCCTGAAAATTAATTAAAAACTTCAAGTGAAGTATAATGAACAAAAATTAACTCGTAGTAACTACCGTTTTGATACTTTTCTGAAGGCATCCGGCTGCATTGTTTTAATATCATCTCCAGCCATGCAAAACAACATAGACAAAGAAGTTTTTCTTATCTCTTGCAATTGTTCTAAATAGTTACAAAAATAAATATTATATAATATATTAGATACAAATTCGCATTCAGTCCACATGAAACAAAATGGAGCTGAATAAGTATTTAAAAAAACACAGCCTTCTTAATTTGATTAGATTTCTGTCAATGTCATTTAACCGATAAATATTTTTAAGTATAAAATTAATAACGTTATCTGAAATATGGTACGAAAAAAGCAAAATTACATATAACACATTAATTAATTACATTGCATTAGTAAAAAAAAAAAAATGTTTTCATTGACTAAATTAATTTTACATAAATATTTATAAATTACTTATTTCCTATAAACTTTATTGCTATTCATAAAGAGTATGAAAATAACCTACATTAATGTGAACATATTTTAACTTCAAATATAAACATATTCATTAATTGATACTATTTGTTATTTTATTAAGACTTATAGACAATCTGTGTACAATTTTTTAGCATAATAACTAATAAATATATGTAATAATATTCCTAATACAACAATAGCACTGTGGTACATTTGATAAAGAAGTCACCCATTAGTAATAATTAAATTTTATTATTCTAATTGTTTATTTCTAACACTTTCCTTTTTAAAATTTTTTATCATTCTATTAGGAAGTAACGACATCACTGTCTTTTTAGCCGTTGCCTGGTATAGTCTATGTAGTTTATTATTAAGGGATAAGGCTGTTTTGGTGATTTTGTAAACGGATATGAAAACGTTTGTAAAATTGAATAGCTTCTTCTGTTACAGTTATTATATAGAGATATTTGTGCAAATTATTGTTTGATACTTAAGGTAGGGGGGAGAGGGGGGTTGGTAATTTTCCATAGGGTAAAATTATAGAATTGTTGATTTTTATTAATATTGGACATTTTAGAACCTATATTACCTAATATTACGGTGTAGGTACCTACACCATAATATTTATTATTTAACGGAAAAAACACACTAATTGTGTATTACACAGTTGTGCCGAAATGACACATTGTGTTTGTTTGTCATACAAATAAAGATATTGATTACGGACACAATACGGAACAATACGGGAAAACCGTATTCAGGTAAAGTGATTAAAATAATGATTTTATTTACGAGTAATAATTTTTCTGTACAATTTTTGCGATCAAACGTTAGGACAACCAAAGTTAATTATGTGACCGCATCATAATCATATCTTTAATCATTCATTCTAGCCAACCGGCAATACGTTTTTATAACTTCTAAGGCGCTTACAATATAATTTATTTTTACTTTTCATTACACCATAAAAAAAAGAGTTACAAGTCTACTTAAAGACTAACGGCTGAAATTATAAAACATGGAACATGCTTTAGCCTGCTGGCTCCTGAATAGTGATTATTTCTGATCCATAATCTCTTTGCGATTTATGATGTAATAGTATAATGAAATCTTAATAATTACATGTTCTGGCCAAACGTTTGCATGACGACGAAGTCTCGTTACTATTTCGATGGCTTATATGTTATTATACGTTTAAAGTATGTGCGCTACTTTAGTAACGCAATTTAGTGTCGTTTTCGGGCTGGGGGCCAACGCTAAAGCATGTTCCATGCTGAAGCCTTAAGTTGTATAGGTATGTAAACACATCTTATATTAATTGCGGATTACGCTAAATCTGTTTAAACTACACACGGGTACATAGTAATTGATTTTATTATGAACCACATTTATTTATTTATTCGTATGGCAATGGTACAATGATAGAACGCTTCCACGTAGTGTACCCCGGGCAACGTCTTTAGACGGCTAAAATTCTATCACCCTTCTGGCTGGCATGAACCACATTAAAATGTTGATAAATCAATATAATATTATATTATACATAATATGAGATAGAATATGAGATAATATAACATACAATAAGTTCTTATTCGGTGTTGTTGTATATTAATAGTAGAAACTAAACGTCTAATAACATTTTGCGCGAAATGGCAATGCCGTTAAATGTTAGGCTATATGAAAGAGCTAAAAAAAAAATGTATTATTGTAAATTCACATTAATAATATTTGATGTAATAGCATTGACGTCAAACTGAGTGGCTCAAAGTCAATGAATTAAGCGACAAAAATTGATATTAGAGTTCATTAAGCGCACACAAAGCTGGGTTGTCCACCACGCCTTAGTATAGATTTTTCTTATTTATAAGGATATGTAGAATTTAACAAGAATGAAGAAATATTAAAAAATACCCAGAACAAATAAGTTGTTTTTATTTGTTTAGATTTACGTATGATGCATGATGGCTTTCAGGAACCTTCGGTTTTGTTAAAAATACACCTAATTTAAAAATCATAATTTGGTTTCATTTTGAAAACGTAACATTGACATAAATTTTGTCAATATGTTTTTTTATGAAACATTAAGCCTGTACTACTTTTTGGCCTTCCGTTAAAACATGTATATTGTGACAATATTTAAAAATGTTTTGACAACCAGCTGTGCACATTTTAATTATATTAAAATGTAGTATTAAACATTTTGTAAATACCATTTTACATTGCACTATGTGGACCATAGTCAACATTTTAAACGACGCATTATGTTTTTTAATTTGTATATAATGTACAATTTTAAAAGGATCCTGCACATTTTTCATATTTAACAAAAATTATAATTAAATATTTTCAAACCACAGTTCCGTTCTTTGGATCTTCTTTATTTGCTTTTTATATAGACCATAGCGATTATAAACTTAATTTTCCTACCTAGTTTCTTATACTTTTAGGTATTCTATTGTAAAGTACATTAAACATTAGCAATTAATTTTTATTTTTTTGTTGCCAATGAATGTTGTCCTTAGATTTTGAAACTTTTGGAAATGGTCATTAATATAAATGTCAACGTTGTATGACTATTAAAACCTCAAATATTCTAAATAATAATTACAAAATCAAGTTTGAATTGATTTGTATCTAGTTCGAAATTCAATGTAAAATATTAAACGTTAATAATGTTACCTGGTGTAAAAGGATGAACTAAATCTCCATTTTCGTAGTAAAATCTATCTCCTCGTTGTAGCCGACTAAACTGTTCGGCGATAACCGTCACAAATGTAGGCCCAAGAATCGATCCTTCGACGCTGTTTTCTAATATCCCACCTACAAAAGGTTCCACTTCCTCGATGGATTCGTATTTTGTTTTCAAGAGCTCGATCATCTTTAAATCGGAATTTTCAAGCAGTCAATTAAAGGTATCGTTTGATACGCCACGATTTCAATAAATAATTACATCATGTTCCATAAAACCATCTAAATCTTCCCAGTGTTCCGGATACTTTCTACCGGCCATTTTTAAATATTGGCCATATGTATTCAAACCAATGTCTCTACCTCTTCCGATGTCCGCCGATTCTAAGTCTTGACCAAGCCCGTCACTTTGAAATAACAAGCCCGTGATCTGTGAACGCATAGGTCACTGAATAAGGCAATTTTCTTTTAACCCCTTTATGAAACTTTCTTACGGCCACTGGAAAAAACCTATCCATTTTTCCCATACGCTGATGTGCCATTGCGGTGATAAGTTCATCAAATCGTTTTCCTTCGGCAACCATGCTAACTTTATTGTAATTGTCATTGAGTTTCCACGTGCCGACAACTCTACGTTCACTGTCAACTAACCTAAAAAACAACTTAAATTTGTTAGCTTGACCATTGTTGTTAATGTAGATCGATGAAACTTCAAACACTTGTGTGGATATTATTAGTGCCTACATTCAATTAACTACTAATTTGTTAAAATGTTATGATAGAAAAAGGATTTATACTCTAATTTCCATCAAAATATTTGTACCTCATATACTTACTCGAAATCGTTCACTAACATACTGTGGAATGATCTAAACGCACACCCAGAAAATTCGGTCAGTATCTGAGGATTTACCATTGGATCGTAAACATTGTTATAACCTTCATCATTAACTGTTAACTGTACTGCGTTCATATAAGTTTCTCCTACAAATTTTTACGAATTTAAACACACGATGATCGTATATAAAAATTACATAAAGTAACTACAAAAAAAATGACCTATAAACTCATTAAATCTTTTGTTAGTTTTAGAGTTATTTATTATACAGCAATCACAAAATTTTAAGAAATAAAAAAAAATGTCATAAAAGACTTGTTAAAAATTGTCTAAAATTTAAAATTACAAACATTTTAAACAAAAAATTGTTTATAGTGTTTTTTTTTATATATAAAATATATATATATAGTATTAATTATTTATAATAATATCCCAGTTTTCTTTTGGGATTTATCTTTACTCACCTATGATAATTGGTAAATAATGTTTATATGTAATATGCTGCACAATTGCACAAACTATTCGACGACCTTCTTGGTACAACGTTTCGTCATCCCAATGGTTATTCATTTTTTTCAACTCAAAAACAATCCAATTGTGGATTCTAACAAATATTATCTGCATTACTGCAATTAGAGGAAACAGATTTGCTCTTGCATCGCCTAAACGTACACACATTTCAAATTAGGACAATCCAGCAACCATATACATTTTTTATAAAAAAAAGTTATCTGCAATAATTAATTATATGCTCTCCTCGTCATTAAAATAAGTAAAATACATAAAATATGTGCCTGCAAGATAATCAACCATTAAAGTCTAGAAAATCTTAAACTTCTAGAAAATCTTATTGACGAGTACTTGAATATTATTTATATTTATCTGTTACTACTTTGTACATTTTCTATTTTTAGTTATTGTGTTATTTTAAACCTGCTTGGATGCAAAGAATTGTCGACGGTCCTTCGTTACACACTAACTCAGGTCGGAGTACATTGAGCGGGAATTCACGGCCGTGGACTTTTTTACTTTTTAATAGACCATTTTTAAATTGTCTTAGCTTATGACTTATTCTGTCAGAAGATCCATACACAAATGACGCATCAATAAAAGCAGTATTTAGGTTTATCTAAAAAATTATGAATAGTTGTTATACATGTATTTTTTATGATTGTATATGCATTTTCTTACCTCGAGTTTTATATTATTTGGAGAGGATTAGGGAATTAATAATTTTGTTTAAAAAAATATGACCAAAAAACCTACAACTTATGCTCGAAATCGTTCAAATATTTATGCCTGTTATGGGCACAATTAATTCATAAACACTAAACGGTTTCGGATAAATTATTTCTTACTGGAAGTGCTGGAGTGATATTGCATTTTATATCTAGAGTATTGAAGATTCGCTGCAAATCCATACACGTTACGTTGAAACGAGAGTAAAATTTATCGTCGGCTGGAACAGAAATCGCTTGACAACTATTAAGACTTTTGGTGGAAGGTTGGTTCGGTTGATTAAAACCACAACAGCTAGGTCCTTGAATTTAAAAGCGATTTTATGGCATACTCTTGATTGTCTTTTAAATTTCAATAACTAATTTCACCATTTTTTGTCGGAGAAAGCGTTACGTCATGTGCTATCAATTGGCCCCATTGCATCACAGACATGGTGTACAGGTCGTCCTCGAAGTTAAGGTCCGTGAAAAATATGTCAGATAACACTCTGGGAGTATCCAAGTTTCTTCCACTTTTCTGAGTTCTAATTTCCATAATACCTATCCAACAAAATAAAGGACGTGCTATTTGTGCGTGTTATTTTTGGCAAAAGACGATTCATTTTTAAATGCTTCAAGTAAGTATTCACTCTACATTTGTCCTATTGTGCGTTTATCTACTGGTAAAAGTTATATCAGGGGCGCATTTAATGAGGGTGGCTAGGGGGCTAAGCACCGTCGGTGCGGAAGTTCAGACTTACGTTTAAAAACTCTTAAGCTCCCCGGAAATTTTGGTAAAAATTAAAAACACTATTTGGAGGCTATGCTGGCATTTTTTCGAGAGCACAAAGGAGTTCAGAAGAATTTGAATCCTTTTGGTTTTTATTACCCAGGGTTTTAAGCTCCTCTAAGCTTGTCAAGTTAATTCCACTACTGAGTTATATGCATTTCCCTATTCGACTTACCGTCCTTGTAGAGTGCGGGCAACAGACGGGTAGTTGCTGTGTTCGCCATTCCCCACGTTGGGTGTTCTAAGTTAGTACAGTTTCCGTTTATCGTTCTGTACTCATAAGAAGAATTGCACGTAAGAAAAAATTTCGCTGCGGAACAAACGTCTCCGGCATTTTGTTCTTTTGCGCTTAAAACATATTCTAATAATGGCCCTAACAAATTTTACAGTCTCGATTAAATTTCTTAGAGTGTAATTATTATGAAAAAAGTAAAATACTGTATTTAAATAAAAATGTTAATAAAATTACTCGATTACCTTGACTGACTTGATCAAACGAGTCAACTACCTAAAAAAATATAATTAATACACATTGCGTAAAACTATTTTGTAATAAAAAAAATTGTATGCAAGTGCGTAATTAAGCAAATTTAAAACCAAGGGTCCGGATAGAGTTTCAGGTAGAAATCATATTTTACTAGCTATCAAAATATAATACATATATTTTTGTTACAAAATTAAATATGTTTTCCAGAATCTTACAATCAATTTACACAATTAAAATTAAAAAAATAGATTTAGTTTGTTCCGGAAAGAATTACTCGAGTAAAAACAAAATTATTGTCCGACTCTAAAAAACAATTTTTTATACTGGAAAAACTTTTTTTTTAGCTAACCTAGTTATATGTTGGGTGATGCCGGAATATTATCCGGATCCTTGTTCAAAAAAATTCTTCGCTGACTATTATAATATAATAATAGTCAGAAAATATAGATCTTAATTAATAATTATACTAATATGGCTTTCCTTACTTGATTTAAGTAAACCGAAAATCCAATTCCAAATGTTACAAAACAACAAAACAAATTCATATTCACAATTACAATATTCTAGAATTGGAACGCATAGAAAGCCATGTTCGATTTATGCCCAACTATAAAATAAGACTTTGACACCGATTTCCTTAAACACTATGTAAGTAATTAAAAATGTATTAAATTATTGTCTAAAAATCGAATAAACATTAATTTTGTAATATTTTTGTCTCGGCTACTTAGAATTAAAACTAACATATTATTACTAAGTACTAATGAACTGATGTCGTTATGTAATTGATATCCACTCAAAAAGAAACTTTACCCTATTCTCTCATGTACTAAGTGTCTCTTTTACTGTTTAAGAGTAATATACTCTATAATCTATAAGAAAATATAAAATTTTTAGAAAAAAAAATGTACTTATAGTAAATAAGTAAATTAGTTACGCGAATTTTGATAAATATTACTGGCAACCATTTCACGAAATACTTTGTAGTAAACTATTTACAATCAGTAATATAACAAACTCGAGCTTTAAAAAACATAAAACTAGTAGATTAGATAATAAGTCGTGATAATTATAGTGTAATGCATTTACGAATATCAACTAACGTGCACCACGAAATGTAGTAGTAAAGATTATTTTTATTACTAATCGTCTACTGATTAACATATTTCTGATTACGACGACAAAAACATGTCCAAATTTTAATTTTTTTAAATAATTATTAAATACATATAGGTACATATAGGTATTTGGAACTATTTTACTGTATTGAGCATTTTTTTTAAAAACTATGATTTTCTTTAGTTTGTTATACCTACTGTCATATTAACGTTACGTTATTTAAACGTATTTAAAAGCAAATAAAGTAAAAACAAAGTATGGATACTAATTTTATTTTAAAATATAACAAAAACATTTTACTAGAATACAATGTACATGACGATGTATATAAACTATATTTACAATACCTACCACATCTCTTAATAAATAAATTACATATTCTGAAAATAAACTATTAACTGTTTTCAATAAAAGAACGTTAATTACTGGCTTATTTTATGGTGTTAAACATTTTGAATATCTTGATAGTAATTCTAATGTTAATTTCGAATGTTAACAACTTATTTACGACATCGAAGAAGCGACTTTAGAAACGTTATTAAAAAAAATTCAGAAAGGGTTACTGAAAAACGAGACAAATACATTTTTAATAAAAGTGTAAATCAACAACCTATTTATACGATGGCAAGTCGTTAAATGGCCGTTTACATCAGCTGTGCTTAAACCTAAGGTAAGGTATAATTAACCCTATATTTTTTAAACTATACTTTTATAAGTTTAACTTGGGAGAACTTACGACAGTGGCGTATATATACAATATTTATAAATGTCACTATCGACCTAGTTAGCTTATCGCAACATAAAATAATTGTTATTGAAAATTATATAATGTCTAAATTAAAATAAATCTTTGGAAATTTACAAAATATAAATGGGGATCTGTAAATACTATTACTATCACTTAAAAATGTATAATTTGATCAAATTATTTAATCATAATAAATATAAATACATTTTTTTTTTGTAATGTGGAAATAGAGTCTAAAAGATATACCAGTAAACCACATATCATATTAAATATATTTATGAAAATAATTTTGATTTGTTTTATGGCAATAGCAGGCTAAAGTCAAAGTTATTAAATGCATCGTTCCAAATTTTTGTAAAGGCCACGGCAACTAGGTCATTAATAATTGGTTTCACAACTGGCAAACCAACTCTCCATGAAGCATTTATTATTCTGTCCAAAACGTTCTCTGTAAGAATTAAAAAAAGTTCAGCAATTTTTAATTACAATTTTAAGTACATATCCTAGTTGCTTTTCGTTAGAACTTCAAAGCGTTACACGTGAATTTCGTTGTTATCATATTCATAACTACTTAAGTGGTTAAGCAGTTCTGTATACTTGTATTAAATATATAATTTTGATTATCACTTTAATGTACTGTATTTTAAAAAATAAATACATTTTTATTTTGATACTTAATCATTTTTTAAGCACCCAATATATAAACATGATGAAAGTTCATCTGAAGCCAAATCGGTATGCTTACCATTTAGTTTTAATTTGTACTAAACAATGTGTTTAAACTCACCCATTATAACTCTACCCCGCAAGAGGTTGCTTATGTGCAGGGACATATTTCCGATTTCCAGCAGTTCTACGGCTACTTTGATCTTGTCAGAATTTTTTGGTTTACTAATCGTCATCGTTTGTATATAATCATCTAAAAAACAATCGTTCACTATTGAATTACGCAATTCTTATGCATACACAATTAAATAGTGAATGTCCAACTAGAGTTATTACAGTAATTATAGTTAAGAACGTAAAAATGAAGTAGCCTTTTACTTTTAGAAAAATAAAATGTGTTTATTGGCAATAGGCTGTATACCTGGGAATAACAGACTCAATGTATCTGTGACGAGTTTTTTTTTAATTTTATTATTTTATAAGCGTCTTTAACAGTGTAAACCACATTTGACTCGCCCAGTGTGTGTTTACTCGGTGTGTTACACTTACATAAGGTCATGTTGAACTGGCCGACAGTTGTGACGCCGGGTCGTAACAAGGTGCTCTCCACCTCGTAGTAGCCCTCGAGGTATTTTTCAGGGAAATAATGTGTCAGTTTCATCGAGTTGGTGTTGAAATTCGTTCTGAAAAACAATTAAACAACCGTTAGACCGATAACGTTCATTTTCTTAAACCGGCCAAAACCGATTACTTGACTTTTCTGATTTCCGACAATCTCCACCCGCTTTCGGTAACGTTGAATATAGACAACCTGTAGCCCAGTAAACCGGCTCTTTGGCTCTGCCTGACTTCGGCAGCGAAAAATGGATCGAACGGCGGGATTCCCAGTTCGGGTACGCCTAGAACGCAAACGGCCAGGTTCATATTTTATGCATAATAGTCGAGTTTAATGTAAACAGGTTTGAACAGAATTTATAAAAAGACGGACGACTTTGCCACTCAAACGAATTGTCATTGAAGGGGCAAATTTTGTTTGTGTATCCAGTCCAAAAATATTGTTTAAAAAAAAAATGCGCTCTTACCGGTGGGGAAATAACTTCGGACGCCATTGATTGCATTCCTTATACAGTCGTCAAACTCGTTTGTACGGGTTTTGCATTGTGAAAAATGTTTACCTGCACATAAGAATGAACACGGTTAAGATAGCTAATAATAATATTATGTAGGTACACCAGGCACGGCATAGACTATGTGTTAAAAATCGAAAGGATCGGGATGTACCATAACGGCTAATCCGCGTACATTCACTCGACACCGGTAACAGAGCGTAAACTCATTCGTAATATTGTTATGTAAAAAAAATAATAATAACTCGATTGTAAGCATATATTTTCTAAATGTGTTGGGCGACTTGTAAAAAATGTCCAGCGTGTGGTCGATATTTAGATATATTAATTTATGACTCTATCTCGACTTGAACGTTATTTTACGTGTTTTTTATATAATTGACTTCCGTCTATTGCCTAATTATGTCTATAAAAATGGTCATAAGGTTTCGGGTTTTTTTTTCTTCAATAAACAACTTGTCATTCGATTTTGTATTTTGTAATTATCAATATAATTCATTGCCTGCAAACGATTGATATTAGTAGAGGTGTATGTATTATTTATTTTAACTACACAATAATTGAATGGATTGTGGGAGAACTTAAATATCGCGAAATATTAAACCAAATTTAAAAACATCACACTAAGTTTACTATCATGTTGAACGATATTTCCTGCATAAATGTTTTCTTTTTAACATTGTTTTATTACAAGTACACAGACAGGAGAGATCAGAAATTGGTGTCTTAAAAAATTTCTATAAATCTACTTCACCGGATATAAAATATTACAACAGTCGTTAAAAAATGTTGCTCTTGAATAATCATATGAACTATAAATAATACTTTTATTTTTATTAATGACATAACTGCAGTCCATAATATATACGTATATATATATTTAATAAATAGTTACTGGTCCATCAGGTCAACAAAACGAACACAGTGAAAGTCAACCGGTTTTCGTTTTATCAACACACTTACAAGTAAACCAAATATAGGTTTTTTTGTCTCTACAAGCTATAACATTATTATTTTTACAGCGACACTACGAGTATATGAGAATACTACGGTAAATTGTGTTATTATGACTTGAGAATTTATGTACACCAAAGTAAATTGTTTAACGTAAAAGTAATAAATAAATACATTCAATTTTACACCTGCTGACCTTTATGTTGCTTAAATAAAACCTACACATTTACATACAATCACTTGAAGTTTTAAACTTTGAAAATAAACCCAAAATCATCCTCTCGACTGCATTAACCTATTCAAGTAAAACATTTTTTCTTGATAGTGTTACTAATAGTGAACCAATTTTTTTTTTTAGAAATAAATGAGACCGGCAAAATCAAATTTTGAATACTGTTTAAATAAGAAACAATATTAATAATATATATTTTATACGTATCTACAAGTACACACAATAATTGTTAATTTTAAAAACCGTAAAATGGTATAGGTATATATTTTTAGTTTAGTATTTATCAACTCGTGAGTCTTTTAAAATGTTATGCTTCTTGTTTAATTACTAAATCGTGTCCTATTATGTAACAGTAAGTAAGTATTTATTTGTTCGTCATTTAGAGAGTACAATTTTTATTTTTCGCTCACGGTCTATGGATTATAATTCATAAAAGTTGGTATTGTTTTTTTTTTTTTTTAGAAAAATCTAATACAATGTGGATTTATCCTTTATAGGATGGATATAGTATAGCATAAACAAAAAATACTATGTTTTTATTTACTGTTCACTGTTAAAATCAATGTTGACAAAAATAAAATAACAATATTTATAATTCTTACAATACGTAATGTACAAAAAAAAAAACAATAAAATAATACTAAATACGTAATCTCAGTTGGGATTTATTTAAAAAAAGCATAACTACTATTCTTTAAATAAGGTCAATGATTTTGCAACAGTCGATAATTATAAAAAGAGACACCTATCGCTATACAACATGATTTTTTTAATAGCCTACTGTTCAGTTGTTGGTACCTATCCTACTGCAGCAACCAATAAAATATGTCTGTAAGAAACACTCACAAATTTGTACCTAATAGTTTATGTTTTCATTTGTTTTATAATTATAATTAGTAATTTTAAACAATTGCTTTCAACAGTAACCCAAAATATTTAATTGGTCAATTACTATAATAAAGCTCTGTATATAACTTATATATTTTACTCTAACTATTTACAAAAAAATAGTTACTATCCAATGAGGGAAAGGGGGGGGGCAGCAAATTAAAAGCCACATGCCTCAGTTTTATTTTTTATTTGGTCAGTAACAGGGGGTCATATAGATCCTATTTTCTTCTAAGACCTAGCACTGTACTTAAGTGCATATTCAGTCCGGATTCTACTATATATTTGTAAACAATTTTACTCTACTTTAAAACAGAAATTTTTACTATGGATAACTAAATGAAATTGTAATTTGTTTTTATTTTAAATATTTATTTTAATTCTGACGGTTAGTATAACTATTTGTTACATTGTTCTATTAATTTAACTATTAAAATAAAATATTTTGTATTTATTTATGTGATTTTATGTTTTTAGGGGCTATTATTGGAGATTTATAGCTTTAGTTGTTTTATAGAAAGGCTAATACTTTAATCCCTGTGTGGTCCGTACATCTAATCAAACCATAATCTCTAAATAAATGTCTACAATTAATTACTAAGCAGGTGATTTAATTCATTGGCATCACTTTCATGGTCGTGCGTCATTATGTATAAACAATTCTTCTTTTAAGATTTTAATCGAAAACAACATCGAAAGACTTCAACTAATACGTATAATTAACTCTTATACTCTTATAGAATTTAGTACTAAAAAATACACATCTCATTGTACAGCTATATTAGATTTAACATTAGTTTTCAGATTTAAGTTTTATGATTAAATTGTTTGTTATTGTATAGTAGGTACAATATTTTAGGTTTACACAACAACAGGTTGCCCTTTCGTTAAAAAACGATTTTTTGGTTTTAATCCACTATTTTTATTAGCTCAAAGTAAATAAGCTCAATCTGTTCGTAGTTAAGTTTCACAACTTCCAAGCTACATATTATAGTCTTAAAAGTGAAATTTGTAAGTAAATTCGAACAAAAATCGAGATTGGTATAATTAACAAGATTTTTATTCAACTAAATATACTAGTTCTATTCTATTTTAAATTAATTTAATACTGTATTTTAAATATGTATAAATTTATTTATTTATTTGTTAAAGTTATTATAATAAGTACCTGATTTTTAATAATAATCTTCACATAAATTGAAGTATCGATCATGACACATTTCTACTGTATCTAACCTAACCACATATTATGAGATTTATTGTTTTTAGTTTGTATTTATAATTTAATTTGTTTAATGAATAATGAGCGTAATGATAAGTGGTGTACTCACGAAATTCGGCAGCGCCACCTCCATTGGCCTTACTTGGGCCGACAACCACATTGCTGTCCAACGACTGTCCGGCTGTTAAAGCAGCTAACATAAGAAATAAAGTAAATTTGATGATTAAACATCTCCGAGCTTCTGATAAAGGCATTTTATATTCAATGGATACGCGTATGGAGTAGATGTTCATTTAAATCGCTCCTACATAACTGCAAAAAAAAAAATACATTTTTGTAAATAATTTATGTTAAAATATCCTGAAAATAATAGTGTACGTAATTACTACCGCAATAAGAACGTTTGTCTGGAAAATCCTAAATAGTAACTGAAGGTCTTTATGCGCATACTTATTGAATGAATCCAATTGTTAAAATGCGCATAACTCGAGTGTGCATCTACCGTTGCGAAGAAAAGCTCAACAATCTTCTATTAATTAATTACAATCAAGTTAGGCTCCGTGTTGCACAACTTTAATTTTGTAAGAAAGTATCATATAATTTTTTTTATGTAAAAAAAACAACAGTTTAAATGGTCGTAGAATTCAACTCTCGAGGCGGAAGAGATTTTTTTTATTATTTAGTTTACTACATTGTATACTTGCACATAAAAAATAACTTCTTTATTAAATTTGTTTTACCTCAAGAAACGATCATAGGGTAACCGGTAATGTCACTATATAATGTTTGTTTACCGTTGTTCAGCAACTTCATGTTCATAATATAGTGTCGTCAATCACGCGTCTTAACGTAATATTAAGACATAACGAGCAAGTTACTTCGTTCCAAGATATAATTATCATTTAGTAATTTATGAGTTATTTTAATCATTATTAAATATTAACTACATTTACATAAGGATTTATTACGGTGTTATTATGTAAACATTTTATTTATTCATACGAATAAATAAAATGTAAACACGAGACATGTTATCGTAACATTGTTTATTTCTACATAATATTCTCCAGCTGATAACGTTTTTGTGAATCTCGGTAAAATCTATCCGTGTGAGACTTTATTAATTATTATTTAAATTGAACAGCGCGGACATTATTGTATGTTATATTCGTCCATTTGTTTCTAGACTACTGTTGTATAATATTTCTACTTTTTAGAAAGTATACAAATTAAAGTCCCAATTTCATTAAAATTAAAAATATTATTTGTGGATAAGATTGTTTTCTTGTTTTTTTTTAAAGGTAAAAATATTCAAAATGATTTGTGATCTCTTTTACTTTTACGTTGTATACACCGTTAAAACCAGATTGATTGTTGTCATTACTAAAAATATATTAAATACATATAGTTATAAACAATATATAAATATATAGTTATTGCTACAATTATATTAAACGCAAATGGATAGTTGTAATATATTGAAATGACATTTTTATCCATAGCGATAATAATTCTTGGACCTCAAAAGATCAGATTTTATGCGAATTCAAGACATTGTCACATGGTGATCGTTATTTGATTATAAACTTGAATAGCAGACATTTATCGGGACAGTGTTAACGATTTACGTGCGTAAGTCGATTAACGATTTATAGATTAAAATGGTATTCTAAACAGTTGAAATGATTGGTGTCGAGGTCTCGAAAACTCATCGTCGAACAATCGGTTTGTAAATATTCACAGAAGGTCAAAATCGATTAATAGATTCTGCGTGTAATTTCGAAAGACAAATGTGTTATACCATGTGGATGTGGGGATCGGTGGTACACATGTGTACAAAATCGTTCATAGAACAATAGACACTGGCGCCACATTCAGTTACTACCCAGTAGCATAGTATATCCAACGATTCGTTCTTACAGACATAATAGATCTATCAATCAATGACGCCAGTTAACCGACGTGCACGGTGTTAAAACGGTTTTAATTAGTAATAGTTAATAGTTTACAGTTTTGACTTGGAATCCAGGCACAAATTAAAGTTCTTTTTTTATTTAATATTTTAAAAAATGATACGTTTATTTATAAAAGTTCTAATTGCACTTTTATTTTGAAAAACGTACAAATATCAGTTATGTTTATTTAACTTTAACGATAACGTTAATGTTAGAACTTTTTTTAAGTTCTTTTATTATTGTCACAATGAAACTATTTGAAAAATGTTCAGGATATTTTCGGGACCCTGCTTGAAATATAACGGTGTAATAATAAAAAAAAACTCATCATTATCAATTTTAACTTACATTTTTACCAGCCTTAAATTTGTAATTTTTACATCTGTCTGCGAAGGACTTATTTTTTTATAAACTATATTCTACCGACTAGATTCTATCGTAATTCGTATCTAGGAATTTAAGAACCTAAATAAATATAAGATAAAAAAATGTCGAGCCAGTTCTCGGTATTAAATACTTTTTTTTTACCTACGTCCAAATTTGAATGTAGCGGGAAAAAAGGAAGAGGAAGACCAAAGAAAATATGGATGGGTAGAATAGAGAGTGATATGAGAATAGCTGAGGTGATTGAACGAGATGTAGACCGAGCTCTATGAAAGTGTAGGATTAGGGTGGCCGACCCCATGTAGTTGGGAGTGTAAGGCGAAGATAAAGAAGAAGAGACCTATGTCCAGATTACTGTCATGCTTACTTATTACAGGATAATGTATAATTATATTATTTATATGTGTTGATATAGAGGGCATGTTTTCTTAAGTTCATTAGCAATTTCCAACTTTTAGTGCATACAAAACTATTTTGGAAAACCAAATCCACTCTCGCAGTTCAAATTTATATGTATGCATATCTTATCAAGTAATAACAAAATAAATTATGAATTTTTCTTTTGAACACTAATTGACAATCCACTCATCCGAGGTTTTGTTTTAGTTTTGTGCAGTAAGAAAAATTGTTTTCCGGTCGAAAACTAAAAGCGCTTGTTGGACATACGGTGTGGGAATCTTTCATCCGGTTTGCGCGCCAAATTTTGAAGCACTTACCCCATAAGCGATGGTCAACTTTTGGAAGACTACTCTTCTGCGGTTGAGGGCCGTCCAAGTATAATTTTGCCAAGACGGATATGTCGAAGAACCGGTGATCGTTGAACACACGACACGAGTAGACTAACCGTAATGTCGGCGGCCAATCAAATGCACATTCGCAGCTTCGTGTCGGACCAACGTATGCGTAAGCAGTGATTAAATTATTGGTGCGGTGCGACCGACCTGATGTGTATAATAAACAAACGGAGACTTAAGGCCGGTCGGTGAAAGGGAAACGGTTACGGCGCAACGTGTAACAGTAACGACCGCGGTTCGGTAAGCTGCTCGCCGATGATGATGCTGCATCCTCTCCTCCGTGTACGCTATCCGTCGCTACCGGCATGCTCCTGTAAGCAATTGGAAGGGAGACGACATAATTACGACTTAGCTTCCAACTGTGTAACGATACTGTAATAGTAATTAACGTAATTTCGCTCGTCGACCCTATCCTTAGACGTATATATATATATATACTTATTATCTTCCTAAGTCCTACTTACACACATCTACAGGTACACGCGGTCCTATCGTTATTCAAATAAAATTATCACTCAATTATCAAATTTATATCTTACTTACAGTGTGATCAAAAACCAAATACATGGAAAAAATGTTAATTTTGAAATCTAAATTACAATGAATGTCTGGCCTGACCTCACAATCCTTATACATTTTTAACTGATGTGCAAACGGTTAGGTGCGTTTTGTGTATACTCCAAGTTCTAACGACTGTTATTGTAATACAAGTATACAGCAAAACGAAACAACACCGTCCGCTTCGACGATATAGGGATGCGTGCACATATAGTATGCAACAAAACTGCTGTCGCGGTGTTCGATTCTCCGATGAGCGAGTTTAATCAGATATAGAGTTGTCTTGACTCTTGAATCATAAATACAGCATCAGTCAGTCTAAGGCTCACCTATATTACATGGTAAATGGTAATTTATACAATGTGGCCTTTCGTTTCATCAAATTTTTTTTACTGTAAATGGTAATTTATACAATGTGGCCTTCGTTTCATCAAATTTTTTTTACTGTCCCTTTTTTATATATATTCAAGTGATCGAACCTCGAATCAACTGATTTATCTATCTATCTACTAATGTACCGCTGAGCCTGCTTTTTGTGTACTTTCATTTTCAGTGCATTCTAAATTTCCCAATATGTTCGTTTTATAATTTTTTTAAAAAAGCAATCAAGTCGTTGAATACGATACATGGTCGTAGAGGATACGCCCTTGTTGCATGTAAACGCCTCATATATAATTAAAACTATTGGACGGTTCCAAAAAAACAAAAATACTACGTGATAAAGCTTAAAAATGAACACATATTTCATACACAACCGTTTTTGTCCTAATAGTAATTCAGATTTAAAATATTTTGGTTGACGAATATGCAAACGTCGACCGAATTCATTTTATTTTAAAATTCAAGCGCTTCTGATGGCCAGGTTAATATTTTAGTTGGTAATCCCTTTAGATTATATTTACACAGAATCCTACCCAATAAAATATTTTTCATTTTTTTAACAAGTATAAAGAAAGAACAAAATAGCAAATAGGTAAATACTAAAATGGGTATATTTTGTTTTGTTGTAAAGCTATTATCTCTTTTTTATGGACTAAAGATCGACTTGCATTTTTTGTTTTTAAATTAAAGTTTTTGTAAAAACGTTTATATTTTTACTTATATTGTCAGTTATTCCAAACAACAAACATAGATATTGCTCTTCAAATGCGTTTGTGGTAACTGATGAACCAAGCATGAAACCAGTAATCTATTATTAATGATATTAAAAAAAAAAACACTAATATTAATAATTATTTATTTATTTGTTAATGCATATCATGACGTAACAATTACTATTATTATTGTTTAAAAATATTCCCTTATTATTCAATACGTAACGATACGGCAAGGTAAGTTTTATAAAAAATAATGCAAACTGTACTATTCGAAATTCGCATATTAACATAATTATTAATATAAGTTATAACACACACCATACTAGAAAATAACAACACATTATGTCATACTTACAGCCTACTTTCTTTGTCCGGGGCTTATAAATAATACTTAATCATTTTTTAATTTTTCGATTCTAATTCATAACATAATTTTTAAACTTGGAGATGAAGATTTCACTTAGCAGTTTGCCCCTCAAAGAGTTTTTAAAATATTATGATACATTTTTTGGCTACCTTAAAATAAAATACTAAGGTAAGGTAAAGAAAAAAAAAATTTTTAACATGATATTTTATATAAAAAAAAGGTTTGATTTTCAAATTCTAATACCATTAAGTATATATTATGCAGTATTGTAAATAATTAGGCACACTTATCGCTTATTTCACAGATCTCGAAGGCCTATCAATTTGGCGTACAATAATTAACAATTTTTATACGTGTGGGTATCATAAATATACACTGTACAGTGTACATAATTACACAATGCACATCATATAATATTATTACATGCATCTATCCTCCAAATGCATTTCGTTAAAACTCACTTCATCAACAAGTAACAACAATGACGTTCATAGCCTACAACAATACTATAATGTTCGCAGAACTTCAGGTCATTTAGACCCTTAAAATTATATGGATAGGTACTTAACTTGGGCACTCAGTAAACGTCCATAATATATGAACTGCGATGAATCACATATTATTATGTTATGTACACTTGAGATAGAGTGTAACCGGATAAAAATAAAAAACGAGACGCAAGTGAATGTTACCGATTACGTTGTTCGCCTTTTTAGAGTTCATAATATACTATATAGGTACCTACTATATAAACCTAGTACACAAGTCACTATATTTCAGTTATATATCTTCATAAAACACACGTGTACCTAATCATAAATTACGGCAGAGAACAAAAAAAGCATAACTAAAAAATATCAATTGCAATAATCATCTTGTACGTACGATTCATAATATAAACTATAAAGTATAAAGTCAACTGTCAACAAAGCCCGCAAGAATTAAAATATTCAAATTCTATAATTATATTTCTATGACGGTCGCTAATATATGATAATAAAAATTAGTATTACTTTTCAAACATATAAAATGTATTTTAAAAAAAAATCTACTACGAACCGTCGTTGTTTTTCCTTTAAGACAGATTTTTGAATTGTAATGTATTTTTACTTTCCATTTAATTTTTTGCACGCATCATCTCGTTTGCTTTTAATTCCAGAAAAAGTCATCATTAAATTGGTCTGTTTTCTACATCACATTTACACTGATATATATATATATCATCTATAATCCGTTCACTAACAGTAATTTGTCTGATGAGTGATTAAATAAAAACTATAGTAGCATGTTTCAATTTTTAGTCAATGAATGAATTCACGAAAATAGTTTAGTTTTTAATGGTCGATATGGTTATATCAATAATATAGAGGGAACACTATTTATTTAAATAACGTTTATATATGTATAAATCACAATGCATATATTTTTTTCTTTTCAAATAACCACATATGTTTAAAGGGAAAATGTATAGGCAAAACTAGTTAGCTAATAGCTATAATATAACAATTGTTTTATTTTAAATGAAATAAGATGGTATTGTTATTAAAGTCCAAATTAAACCTCGTTTTTCACAAATCCTAAATGAGCAAAAACCATTGAAAATTGTTAATATTTCCAAGATCCAACTATAAAACTTATTAACGTAAAGTAGTATTTTACTACTATATACCTACCAAAAAATTAGTTTTCAAAAATTGTTTTTCTATAGGTACTTTAGAAACATTTATACATCAAGTTATAGTAGGCTACAATCAAGTTTTTTTATACTTATTCATAAACAAATTAATTTTAAAATATAATCAAACCTGTACTTTAATGGACGATTTATTTATTAATAATAATTACTTGAAAATAATATTTAATTAAAATAATAATAATAATAAATTATAATGGTACACTCTTTTAAATATTAGCTTATTACGTTTTAGCAATGTAATATTTTTGCTAAATCCGTATCATATCTCTAAAATTGTTAAACCAAATAGTTACTAAGCCTAGGGACCACATGAATTTGAATTTTCACAAAAAACAACCTATTTTTTCAGCTTTGTACAAAATTGTATAATAATTATATTAGATACAATTTATATATTTGTATTAAAAAAAAATAATTATTGGATAAGTTATTAAAAACTCAAAAATGTTTTAAAAAAAATAGACAAAATGCAAAAACTTCGATTTTTTTTTAATTTCTTTTTAGACATCTGTTTTTATTTTTTCAAGATCTAAACATACTTGGATCTAACATTTTTTTGTAATTTCGAATTTTAAAAATCCTATGCCTAGATTATACATGTAACAGTCTGTTGATCTCAAATAGTGTTAAATTAATACTTTAGATTTTTAGCTAAAAATTAATCATTTTTAATAGTTCTCTGTTTTTTGCCTAAAATTGAAAAAGTTCTCCAACAAGTTTACAATTTATTTCACAAGTTTCAAATATAATATACAATAATTTTTTGATTAGTAGTTATTAAAATTTGTATTTTTTATTAACTACAAGTCTTATAGGCACTAAAAATATTCTTAATCAATTTTATTATTTGTATCTGATACAGTATAATGTAATAATAAAAGTCACAAATAGTATTCAAACAAAAATATATAAGTTCACAAGTTTAATTTAAAAAAAATTATTACAAAGTTTGAATTTTATAAACAAAATAATAATCACCATAATACATATTATTATTTACATAGCATACCAATAATATTGGTTGTTATAATTAACATATGACATTTATTTAATACCTGACTTTAATTTTAGGTAAATTATAAGTATAAGCAAAATACAAGCTAACAGCAATCAATTGGACACACTTGCCCAATTCTTTTACAAGAAAATATTCATGTATATAAATAATAATATTAATATTGCAATTATGATAATAACTCCTTATAGATTCCACACGGTGCAGGTATTTACAATTATTTTTTAACCAAATAAACAAATTAGCCTACTCACAACACTTAAAAAATGTACACTGACATTAGAAAAAAAATACATTTTTAAATATAAATATAATGCAGCTTAAAGAAGAAGAAGGCAATTTTTAAAATAATTAGAGATCTAAACATTTTACTTGGACTTCTTGCTAGAACTTTTGGATGATTTTTTCTTTGATTTATGCTCTTTTGATTTTGGCATTCTTCTTAATGCTACTAGACTTAACATAATTATGCTTAGCACTGCCAGGCACAATTTCCACACTAGCGGATTCTCCCTGAGCATATCAAAGGACATATGTAGAGTATCATGTCTGAAAATCGAGATATTTGATAAAGACTAAAATACGGCAAGTTTTTGAAAAAAAAACATACAGTGCAGACTTTGGTTGAGGTATTTCTTCCTTCACTGTGAATTTGTAATCTTCAAGTACAAAGTTCAAAAACGACTTGATGGTAAACTCGGACGAGGTATATTTATACAATGCACCACGGCGAATCCTAAAACCACATAGACAATTAGTTTAATTAATGATTACATCGACTCTCCTAACAAATCACAGCACTTTTCAATTTCCAATGAAAATCAACAATTTAACCGTTTGTGTATTTCAGCTGCAGTGTTGTTTTTCATTGGCAATTTGTATCGAGGCATATTTTGTAAGGAGCGTCAACATAAAATATTCAATTTTGATTTTACAGAATAAATGTAGGCGATTGGCTTATAGAAAAACGACGTGCAACCATAGAACCAGCACCATGTCTATTAACTCTTGCCACGTTTGCACGATTTTTCAATTTAGCTCCGACCGTTTCCCAACGTGCTTGTAATCTTTGACATTCTATACTATCTGATGAATAGCTGTAATAAAATAGTATTAACTGAGACTTTTGTACTTATTATGCATTTCTAAAAATTCACAATACAGTAGGGTCTTGTTAATCCGAACGGGTTTGGGGAAAGGGGTCGTTCGGATTACCAATTTGTTCAGATTACCTACGACTTTAAAAAAAAAAAATTTCCTTGCTATTTATATTTACTTATTTTATATGTACATACATACACATAATAGTCATAAAATCAAAAAATAGTTATACAGTCTAATAGTAATAAAAGATAACATACATACATATTCATTTAAAATATTGAGTAATTTTTTTTTTGAACACTGGTTCCTATATGCTTCCTTAAATTTTAAGTACATTATTGCTGGTCCCACGATATCTTCTAAACTGCTATGCCCCGGCCCCACTGTACTGGCTTTTTATTATTATTGTGCGGGTCTACGGAAAAATATGTCTAAATATAGTGATGCGATAAATGTCAAGCCCGTTCGGATTACCGCGTCTTTCGGATTAGCCTAAGTTCAGATTAACGTGACCCCCCTGTATGCTTAAAGCTTTAACGTTAAGCTAAAAGTAGCTTTAAAGGTTGTATAGAAATAAAAGCATATCATAGTATATTACAATTGTATAAACCAATCTCCAGTTGTAGCACCAGTTGATGCCTGTGTGAGATGTTCAAAACTGTTATCGTCGAGTTCTTTTACGATCGGATCTCTGTTTACTAGTAGCATTTCCAACAATCCGTCGTAATTTAATGCGTCTATATAAGTAGATACATAAAAATTGAAAATAATATATTTTCCCATTTGAAGGGCACAGGGGAAGAAGAGTAGTAGACCATTTATGACAATTTTTCAGGAGAGCAAAAACAAAGTTAGTTTGTGCACGCAAATCTATGTATCAACTGTTTATGAAGCGCTAAGTTGGTCCCAATGTATAGTGCCTTTATCTTAAAACTGAAAAAAATGGACTATTACCAATCTTCCACAATGCTCTTCATTTTATTCAAATATTACCTTCTTCGGGTATTAATAATGGTACACCATGCCGGAACATGATTAATGACGGTTCTTTAGTCGGATCATAAATATGCACTAAATTACTGCCTTCTACTTTGACTACCCAAGCGCTTAAGGCATCCACCAACTCTTCGCGAACTTGAGTAAGAACATCTTCATACTGTTTGCATTCTTGACAGTCTCTTAGTGCTGAAATAATATTAAAAATAATACAATACAATGGATACAAAATAATAGTAAAATAGCTGTTGGCGAAACACACTGAAAAGAACGAGAACATAATTTTCCGAACGGAACAGTTCAAGTAATTCTTCATCGCTGACTGCTCCTAGTGTTTGACCACAAGTCGTTTGACTAAACAAACTACAACAGATGGCGAACAACAAAAAATGCAATTTCTTAACGAACATATTAATATGTATTAAATAACTTGGTGGTAAAATAAAATATTTTTCATTAGGATTAGATCTAGAATAATAATTGAAGTGATGGTTTAATGAAAATCTGATTACGTTTCACTGTATTAAAACAAATATAATAATTAATATAAAATTCGTGTACTATCGCGTTTAAAACGTTCAGACGTGTACAATTTACAAAATCTAAACGAACAAACTAATCAGTAATCACTCTTATCACAACATAACTGTTATGTGTTATCACTCTACAGCTTATTTTAGCTTTTACCGACAGTGTGGCCACATCAAAATTAAAATCAAACAACCGTAATTTCCTGCCCATTTCAATAATTTTTTTCGTTGTTATTGTTTTATACAAGTTAAATCTAAAGATGAACAATATTTCAATTATCAAATTGTTAAACGAGCCATATTTTTAAAAGTAATTATTATTCATTAACAGTCGACACGTGGCAATTACCAATAAAATATCGAAAATTTAAACTTTCTAAATGATTAATATGTAAAGAATACGTATGACGAATCTTTGCCTAAGTCGTCTAATTTGATTTTATTGTTACATTTTTTAGATGTAACCCAAAAATAGAAGAAAAATAAAATATTAATTCTCCACAATATTTCCCTCAGCAATTTTAAAAATATTAAGGCAGCATTAACTGTATTCATCTATTTCTACCTCAAAATCTATAAAGTTTGATTGTATGAGATACTTGTTGAACGTTTATTTAAAACTTTTTCAAATATTGATAATAATTTTAATTGGTAAATATGCAACGCCCTAATTTATTAGAAAAAGTGAAATAAATGACAAAAAAAAAAATCGTAAATAAATAATACAATTGCATGAAATACTAAAAGTATTGTCACTCTTTATATAAGACAGCAGAACAAAAATGTTGAGTTATTAAAGTTTTTTAATTTAAAATAATATACCAATAAAAAATACATGTATGTATTACATAATTTATTTATGTTACCACAAAACATACTCTATATATATATAAATGTATATACAAAAGTCATGCTGCATTATAAGTAATAATAATTTATATATTAAAAATGTAGTCTTCTTAAAAACGAAAAATACCAAAAAAAAACAAAATTATATGATTTACACATAAGACGAAACAAAGTAAATTATGTTTCATTAAAAATATAATAAATTGAACAGACAAATATTTTATTCATTGTTTAATAGTCTGTTCGTAACTTTTAACAATGAAAAAAATTTAGTTTCAACCTAGCGGAATGTAAATAACTATGTTTGTACTATTTTTAGAACAGCTAAAATAAAAAAAATAATAATAATTAAATTATATAAAAAAAATTGCTAGAAGGCAGTATCATTATTTAAGTACATTAATTAACAATGGCTCTAGGTCATTGTCATCCATTTAATTCAATACAATTGCCAATTGGTGCAGATCGGATACATTAATACTACAATCACATTTAATAAAATGCTTACTATATCTTTGATTCAAACTCAAATTCCCCCCTACCGCCGCCTCTTTTTAAAAACAAGCTTTGCTTTCGTTTCTTGTGAATTTTGTCAAGTTTCTATATAAAATAATTACTCCCTTAAGTGCAATTTTTTATTTTATAAATCATATGGTTCAGACATCCCTCTATTCCCGTAAACTTAAATTTAAATATTATTAATCATATTATGTACAGTCAATATATCATCAAATTATCAAAGTAGAATAAAACAAATTAGAATATTGTACTTAATTTATTTTGTTGTATAAAAAAAATATATTTACGAGTTTCAATTCACGAGTTAAAATAATTTGGAAATGTATATCCATTTAGTATGGTGAAATATGTAAGCAAAATGTAAAACTGTATGTTATAATCATTATTATTATTAATTACATAAAGTCTGGAGTTTTGGAGTTTTCTCTTCGTAAAATTTGTTTCCTAATAGTTTATTCTCCATTATTGACAATCACTAATAATTGTAATTCTATTGTGGTCAGTTTGGTTTGATTGTGACCAGTTAATCAACTTAGTTTCCATTAGCCTCAGCCGCCACTGTTTGGCCCTCGTTTTTGAACTTTTTGACAGGAGGTTCATCAGGGGCTGGCAAACTGGAAGAGTCTTCAGTTAAAGCCTCAACCAGTGGAGTTTGGGCTGATTCTGATGTTGATATGGAATCGTTGGTGACGTCATCTTCAGATTTATCACGTGAGTCATCCTCAATGGCTAATTGATGGCCATTTGATGGAGGTAATGGCTCGGAGTTACTCTCATCAGATGCCTGTTCGTCCAACTGTTAAAGAAGATATTGTTAATTTAAAATACATATTTTCGTCAACTGAAAACAACAGCTTTTAAAAAATTACTAAACATAAAATAGTAACCTTTGTTTGATTAGCATTGCCATTTAGATGAGCTTCAGGTTTTATAGGTTCGCTTAGTGGCTTTTTAGGGGCTTCTGGAACATTACTTAAAAGTTCAGGTTTTAATTCACTTGCTACGTAATGTGTCCAAAGGGCTAATTCTACTGAATGTGGATTCCATGTACTTTCACTACCTATAAAACATAACATAAAATTACATTAATACACTAATTATTTATCAAAAACATAAATAATACTAGAAAAGTTTTTTTTTTAATATTACTTAAGAACATATTATGTTTTGTGATTTAAACAAAACACAATGGTTTTACAAGTACAGTTTACATTAAATAAAAATTCAAAACATATCATTTGGAAAGGTTAATATAAATAAAAAATCTTAATTCAGCGTAATAAATCCTTTCTAGTACACATCTTATATAAAAATTCCATTTTCCAAACTTAAAATTAAACACTGTATAGTATAATCAAAAATCCTCAAAAAAATTATAATTCAATAAATACAACTATAACTTACATTCACTATTAAGTCTTTCCACAGCGCTCTGAATGTGAGCAACAAAATTCAAGTATTCTTTGGCAGTGTAATCGATGCCTTCAATAGCTGGGATTGCTTTAAGACATTCATCAGCCATGAAAGGAGCCTTATCCGGTGCGGCCGCAGCTAAAAGAGCTAAAAACAAAATTCGCTCAATAAATAAGGTGATTTATTATTATAACTTTGTCATTAAAACTAGTGTGCTTACCTGAAGCCATTGTGGTTCCGACACCTTTTAAATTGCTCAAGGCCGTAATAGCAAGTCCTAAATTGGGTAATTTTTTAAACGCTTTCTTTGTTTCCGCCATGACAGCACGAGGGGTATTTACTTTTATTAAATAATTTAATTGAGGGAATGTTTTTCCTCTCTGCAAAATAATATAAACAACAATAAATAAAATAATCTTACAATTAATATTTTTAAATGTTTTACCGTTTGTTTCCATTTCATTATTTGGCAAATTTCTTCATGAATAAGATGTGCGTCTTTACCCCTCGACTTAATTTTTTGTGGTAGTTCGTTCTGATACCTAAAAGTAAAAAGTAGTTAAAATTAAAATAAGAAACTAAAATAGTCATTAAATTCTTTTAAATTCGTACAAAACTGCAAATAATTTGAATGTCTATAATAAAATCATAATGTAAAAAAAATGTATTTTTTCATCTGTGTAAACAATATCTGTCTCAGCCTACAAAAACAAAACAAAAATATGAATGAACATGAAACCACTCGAAAATTGAGAGATCATTTTCAAATAAACTTCACTAAATCACTTGCTTTCAAAGACTGCTTGAGCTAACTTCTTATTTTAATGACTCTTTAACTTATAGAACAAAAGTACATTTTTCCTTTTCTTTTTCAGAAACATTTATTATTTTTGCTTTAACCTAAATGATATGGTAAAATAGTTAGTATGTAAATCCGTTTTCAAAATTTCGTAATATTACATTCTAATATTTAGTATAGTTCAGTAGCTGATAATTACTGTTAATAATCCAAGATAAGTATCAACAGTAGGTCATAAGTAGAACATTTTTGGAAAAAAAACATTGTAACATTCAATTTGTTTAAACTTGATTAAAATAACAATTATCATCTTCTGGTATTTATTTTTATTGTGTAACTCTCTTTATAATGGTCAAGATTAAATTGTACATATAAAATCCCAAAATAAAAAAATAAATCTTTTATAAATTGTGATTAAAAAATAATCAATTTTCATTTTAATACTAGAATGTTATAATTTGTTATTAAGTGAACTATTTATATTATTTTAATTAGTAAGATCGTCATGGACTTATCTTCCTATTTCTGAAAAAAAGCTAATGTTAAAAAAATGGGGAATAAAAATGATTATTTTTAATTAACTTGAATAAAGCCTATAGGTTTTTAACCTAATTAAACAAACCAAACATTAATTAATCATTCTGTAAGTAGATTTATAATAGATATTTTAGGAATTTGTTCAATCACACGTGGGTCATTATTGGTATGCCACACATAGTTCCTTACATGTACTGAATATGTATCAATAATAATGTGTACATATTATTCAAGTGTCCGTTTAGTTTTACCTATTACAAATTAAGTTTTATTCAACTTAAATATAGACGCATTATAATTGTAATTGAAATAGGGTATAGTTATATTCAAATTCGTGTTTACAATAATATTTATAATTGTTATTAATAAAAATAATTATTCATTTTATTATAATATAAAATATACAATAAAACGAAATCGTTATTAATTAGCAAGAGCGAAGCGTTAGTATTATTGGTGATAAATGACTTTATTACTTTAATGAAAAATAATACCAATATTGTGTTTATCAGTCACACACTAATGTTATTATTATGTGAGAACGGTTTGATATTTGATAAGTAGGCGCGCAATGCGAGCGCGCTGTATAATCATAGATAAAGTCATTATCATAATTTTTGAAAATTATTTCCAAAACGCACTGCGCGCCTTTGAACGTTTGGGTGCCGGTCGATCAGAGATTTGTTTGTCGCGATCCGCCCTAATGAACCAAACAAATACGGGAAAAACTAAAAGAAATTTATAAGTATCATCATTTTATTTTGTTTTACAGTAAAACACGGCGTAAACATGTAGGTTTCATCGGCACGGCGACGGGTTCGTCGTGAGTTTTCTCCACAAAGAAATCGTTAACGTCATCACGGCCTCGGTTGGTTACGCGACGGCGACGGCGGCGGCGGGGCGACCGCCTCATACCAACCTAACGCGCGTAACACGTATACAGAGCGTGCCGAATGTGCAGCCGTGCCGTTGCGAAATCCCGGAAACACGGCCACTGCCGCCGACGTCTAATAGGCACAACACTCATAACCATCGTCGAATAGTACTCACCAATTGTCCAGCTTGATAAGCTCTTCGGGTTTTTTCGTTTTGCTCTCCGCCTTGACGCGCAACGCTTGCGGGTACAGGCCGAGTACGTGCTCGAACTGGTTGGACGTGCCCTCGACAAAAAACGTTGCCGTGTCCATAACCATTGTTGGACGAGAATTATAATATTATAAAAAAATTAATTGAAAAAAAAAATAGAAAAAGGTCTCTTGTCAAATTCGTAAATATTCTATTGAATAAAAAAAATACTTGGTATTTTCGTTAAGAGGATAAAACACACTCGGACAATGCTATCCGGCGCCCGATTGTTTGTATTTTTGAATTTCTACTGGTTATACACTCACACACACACATACACGCACAGATATCGGATTGCGCCGTTATCACATGCTAAAAAATAAAGTATTATATTTTTATTTTTTATTTATAAATATAATATGATTATAGAGGACGGCGATGTGTACGATAAGAAAATACGATAAAATAAAAATAAAAATAAAAAAAGAAATATGCGCGATCTGCGACCAGCACGAAACGTCTGTTAAACTGACTGAACGCAGCGAACGTGTGCGTTCGTATGCCTGTCCGCCGGGATAATACGATACAAATGCTGTGTACCGAGCGCGGTTCGTGGGGAAAAAAATAACGTTTATTATACGGCCGGGAGTGTGTGTGCCGCGGTATATGCGGTTCGATACGACGGGAACACTGGCGGCGGCGGCGGCAACAGACACGAACGCGCTATGTCGGCGGCGCGGGGCCCCCGAAAACCTGGCGCGGCGGTGTGATGACGGGACGGCGCGGGCCGGGGGGAGGGGCATACACACACACACCGTATCAAATGACCTCCGCCGCCGCAGCGTTCGGTGGGAGTAGCGGCGACGGCACGGCCGGTCGTAGTGATGGTGTAGGGTGGCGCGCGGGGTCCTTTGTGCGCAACATAGGGGAAAGACGACGGCGACGCCGCGCCGTCGTTGCCGGCCCGTGTTTATTACAATCACAGCCGTGTATTGAGTATTCGGTTTTCACTAGGGCTGAGCTTACCGGACGGTTTTCACCGGGCCGGCACGGAAAACCGTATTTCCAATTGGTTTTCGCCCGGCCGGTTCTTCCGAGACCGTCCCGCGGCGGTTTTCAGCGAGGAAAATGCGGAATTTAACGCCGCCGACGATAATTTTAAGGGTTCTCAAAGTGCGTGCGCTCTGCGTTCTCTTTATACGGCGACGCGTTTCGCAGAATTTCCCATTTACCTTTCGCTCCTTTCATCGAATAACGTTGATAAACATAAAAAGTTGCCAACAAACACCTATCGAATAAATTATTTAATACTATTAACATTTTGCCATAACGTACTAATAATTAAGTCCGCACGGTTAGAAATAAATAATATAACGTTTAAAATACAATCCATGACTAGCTTTTATTTTAAATTGGCGCTAAAGCTATTTTTCGAAATTATATTTAGCATGAATAAATTATTATGTAATGCAAAATAATGGTTTCGAATCGCTAACTAACGATAAAGCAGAATTAATATTCTTATCTTATAATACATCCAATATTTTACGCGTCGGGATACAATTTGTGGATTCAGGTTTAATACTAGTTTTAGAATTGATTATTAACATTTAACAAGGACTAAATTTGGTATTTTTTTTATTTTACGTGCATAATTCATAAAAAATGTCCAGATTGTATATTGAGCTCGATAAAGATTATTTTATTAATGTTTTAAAATATTTAATTACCTATTACTATTTTATACCCTACATTTGTTTCTAACAATTATCTTATTTTGATAATTGTTATTAGCATTTCGTTTGACATTTTCTCTGTAAAAAATAAAACTTAAAAACTTACATAAAACTTTTTCAATCGTATATTTTAAAAGTTTTCTCAGCTAAAGTAGTTCAAGTTATATTTAAATACTAATTAGTACTTCAAACTTTTTAAGTTACCGAGCAAACTAAAAATATATAATATATACTTTATAATTATTATATTGGGTGTATAATATAATACACACAATAATTTTTATTGGCCACTTATTGTACATTTGATTACTAAATATAAATTCCAGGTAAACCTACCTTTTTCGTTTGTTTATAATGAGGAATTTTTCTTCATATTAATGGTCGATTGCGACTATACCTGCTGTAGATATATGATAGACCATTAAATATACCTAACCTTAGCATACATTGGCATTTTATATAAATTCCCTTATATTTCTTAACTTAATTGGCAGTTTGCACGATTCATTAAACATTTAGAGTTTATAAGCGATACGTTAAACGGACATTGTTTTAATGTACATCCGATAAAGGCCTTAACGGGCCAGTTTGCGCCTGTCTAAGACGACTGCATTAAAAGTTTGAAAATAATATATGAAGGCAGAAGGGCACAGGGGAAGAATGGAAGTAGTCCATTTATGAAATTTGTTTTTCAAATAGTTTTTTCAATATAGGCCATTAATTTTTTTTATTTAGGTCAATAGATTGTTTAAATAAATACATTTTTATTAGAATAGCATTTAATGTGAATTTACGGTAGAGGAATTCACAAACTTTGTTTTTGCTATACTCTAAAATTTTCATAATGTGACTACTACTGTTTTTTCCCTGTGCCTTTCATACGTATTGTTGACGTTATAAAGTGCAAGGGAGAATAATTAACAACAAGAAAAAAAATTGTTTGCGTGCATTTTAAACCTATTTGCGCCTTGTCGTGTAATCTAACCAATAGGTTATCTGCAATTATCATCATAATATAATGTAATAATATCAAAATAATTTCATCAATATTATTATTGTCGCGACGATAAAGTTAAACGCCATGAGTAACACAATGACTATGTAAAGCAACAAGTGCGCACGCTTTACTATTATTATTTTTTTTGTAAAAATACCGCTTTGAATTAATCCAAAAACACAGTCTAAAAGCCACATTACGACAAACTTCATTATATAGGGGCCGATAATATATGTAATTTGATAAACCTAACCCAGCTAGCAACTACTACTAACATAACGATAGGTTCAGTAAGCAAAGGACCTACCTACCAAGCTAAATGTTTCCACACTCCATAGAACCTAATATACACATGCACGTGATACATTTGTAAATAGGATAAGGTTTAGGATCCTGTGGAGTTTGAAGTACCCAAAAATGTATTGCTCGTTTTAATCTGGTACTCGTTGACATGCTCACAGTTCACTCGTGTATAGCGTATACTAGTGCTGCATAATATGAAAAGAAATTACCAAGCAATATAATATACATAAAATATTTTATTGCATAGTTTGCAAAAAAAAAGGCGTTGTTGCTGCAAAACCTGTAATTTGAGGAAGATTAAAAGTCACAGGACACATATTCCTTGCGCAGAAATAATATACCTATGACAATATATTTTCATTACAATTTTTTTGTCAGAAAATCGATTATCAGTAACTCAAATGTTTCAATAAAATGTCCTCATTCTTATAGTAACACATACATTATTTACAAAACTTAACGAGTGAGAGTTATGGCCAATATTATAGTCATGACCTTATCGTAGTTTATGGTGGTGTGCTTTATCCGCAGACTCGAGCGAAGTTAAGCCCTCTCAAAATTATTGTTCTTTACATAGTTTTACAGTAGTTTCCATGGTAAATATACCCACTGATACAAAAGCTATAATTTTATAAAACGAAAAATGGTTAATGGTTGTTGGCCAAAAATGTTAGGTATTGTTAGTTTGGATACAAATGATATTTGCGTTGGAGCTGTAATTACTACAGCTCCCAAACCAATTTTACTTTGGTCGCGCCAGTGGTTATTTTCATTTTGTTAACTGTATCGATTACGGACGGTTTTTTGTTGTTTTTTTTAAAGTTCTCGTGGGAAATTAAACGATATTAAAATATTACAAGTTGTATATCATGTACTCGCAGTGCGTTATTAATTTGTATTGTTCGTATCGTGTCTAACGGTCGTACGGATTAGCTATCAGAAGGACAAGGGTCTATTTCCGTATTGGACGCATGTGTGCTCGTGCCTCGTTTGGACTATACTATACTGTACAACTATAGTGAAATATTTTCGGGGACCGACCGACTCGTTTTCAGGGCCTCCTAAACTTAATACTGGCATTCTTACCGAACGCGTTCGCCAATAATTTTCAGACCGAACGACCACTGGATTTGTGCCGTGTCACACATGCCTTGTTGTTGGTAAACACCGAATAATATTATTTAAAGTGGACCGAATTAGTTCATAAATACTGTGGCTGACAGTTATTACGCTTGGGAAATCTGTTGGATAGTGACGACAAAAAAATTATGAGTCGCCGTACCATGGAGCTGCAGTGCTCCGTCACTTGTCCAGGGGCCGCTTTCAACAAAATAGTACTTTGGGAGAATGTTAGTAAATGCCTCCAAAATTTAATTATTTACTTTTTAAGCAATTTTAACTATAACTAACTATGTTAATTTCATAGGTGCCATCGTCGATAACAACCCCCCGGGACGTCTAACGACGTACAGAGGCCTCTCTTAAGTGGAGACAAATGTTATTCATGTTATTCTGTACTATGACGCTTGCAATGTTTGTCTACTATCATAATACCATACTATTATTTTCGATATTTTACCACTTATAAAATAGTATGTATATTTTTAAAAAACATTGATTGACTTTCATACTAATAGGATAAAAAAAGGTAAACAAAAATACCACTTTAAGCTCAACTGCATACAGCGTTACAGAGAGCATTAACATGTTTTTATGTTGTTGCGAAATGTTGTTGTCGAGTATAATATTATATAATTTAATGCTCATTTTTTTTTTTTTTTTTTTGTAATAAGTGATTATTTGCATTCTGTTGCAGATGCAACTTTGTTTGGTTTCAAAAAATACCCTTATTACGTATTATAATACAAATATTCGTATTCCATTCGTTACCGATATGAACTCACAGGTTCGAGCAATATCGTCTAATCGACTTATTCGTCGACGGTATACTCAACAGTCAACGATAAACTATAGTAATAATTAACCTGTTTGGCCGATAACTCTTATCGCTATTGTACACAATGTAACTGTTTTAGATTACGGAATTGAGCACTCGGTCGTTTTTCCAACAGATATAAATACAACACACTAAGATTCCCCCGGCTCTCATATAAATAAAGACTGGTGACATAAAGCGAATAAAATTGTAATCAATTCTTTGAACATTATATTCCTTATCGTATTTAAGAAATAAGAATACAACAAAAGTCAAAATTTAAACTTACCGCTATATTTATGTATCTGACATACATTTCTTGATTAACTGCATAACGACATAATGTTGCTTCATCACTTCGATAATTTGTAAACGGTTAATTTGTTTTACCCGGAAGTTAATGTTAATTTCTTACATATTATATTAAATACGGGCAATTAAGTTTAACACTTTAGTAGTATTGACAACAATTTACCAACAAAATAATACTATCATGTGATACACTACATTACTCATTACTCATAAGGGTTGTCCAGCTAATGTCATTAGATCATTGAGACAAGAGTATTACACTTCTATACATAATCGATACTATGTTGTTACTGGTTACATGTTTTGGAATAGTAGACTAGTAACTAGAAATTAGAATATATTCTTTAAAGCACTTGACAATTAATGGGAGAGATAAATTTGAATACGAACTAGT